GTGGGGGACATTGTATTGAGAGGCCTTCAATATAAGGTGCAAAAAGAGACGCTTGAGGGTTTTCAAAGAAGCAGAGGTGTTGCTGCTAACCAGACTCATAGTCTGTAACTTATTTTCTCATCAGTCCAGCAGAGAATTTGCTAGCTTGAAATTAATCTAAATAAGGGCACTTAGTTTTCTTTGTGAGAGAAGATGAACCTATGAAGAGTCTAAAAACGTGAATGTTACTACAGTAACTGCTCTGTGCTGTACATTAACTGAAGTAATGTTCGCATAGTTTTAGAATAGAGAAAAAAGTTTAAACATATGTGACTCGTTTCAGGAAACTAGGCATATGTCTAGTTGGGCTCCCGAGTGACACAGCGGTCTAAGGCACTGCATCTCAGTGCTTGAGGTGTTACTACAGACCCCCTGGTTCGATTCCAGGCTGTATCACAACCGGCCGTGATTGGGAGTCCCATAGGACGGCGCACAATTGGCCCAGCATCGTCCGGGTTTGGCTGGTGTAGGCCGTCATTGTAAATAAGAATTTGTTCTTAACTGACTTGCCTAGTTAAATAAAGGTAAAATAAAAAATAAAACATGTCGTGGGTCACTACTTCACAGGAGAGTCATTTGAACGTAAACAAACAAAAAACATTTTGGGGGCAGAAATGCCTTCTGGAACAGGTGAACTTTCATGTGCCTTAATAACAAACTTGTATGCCATCTGTAAATACGAATACAATTGTTAAATTACGAGCCTAGTTGGTTAAGCCACAGAAAAAGACAGCAACCTTCCCACTAGCCATGATTGGCTGAGATAATGAGTTGGCTGGGCATGCCGAGAGAGGAGTTCGGATTGGCATGTCATATAGAAGGATTCTGTCTATTTGAGCTGGTCAGTATGTGTAGGTAATCCTGTCTAACGCGGCTTTAAAAAAAATGTATCGTGTAGTGGAGCTGCATAAGTGTTGCTCTCCACTTTCTGGAGGATCGAGTTTTGAAATCAATGAAATTAGAGTATGATAGTTAAAGAGTTGGAGAAAACTCCGGATTACATCTTCAAACTAAGGGCAACCATGGCATGGCATCCGTGACCGGGAGACGCATCTATCATGCATGATGATGTATACGGGTAAGATAGTCTAGCTAGCTACATTTTCAGATATGACACATTTCTAATTTTGACAGAAGTGGTTTCATTTCAAGCTAAAGTGTACTATTAGCTAGATAGCTAATGTTAGCTGGCTCGCTCCCTAGCTAACGTTACGTGTATGATGTTATTATTCGTATCTCAGAGCCGTTTGCGTGGCTAGTTAGAGCCTAATGTTAGCTAGCTAACATTGAACCTGGTTGGTTAGCTACCACTACCAGCAGATTCATGCAAGGGTGTAAAGGCTGGCTCGCTAGCTAACGTTACGTGACGTGTATAATCTTACACGTTGTTTACCTAGCTAGGTTCATTGTTTACCTAGCTAGCTAGCTAGCTAGCTACATGTCTTAACAAAAGACTCCACTATGCAAGTAACCATTTCAGGTGCATTCGTAAATTCAGTCTGAGTATGCCAGAGCGCAGAATAACTGATGAATTTACGAACGCACAACACCCGTTGAATATGGCCGGTGTCAGTAAACGTCGGCAAAAAAGCATAATGAAATTGTTGCCAGCAGAGCTGGTTAGGCTGTTTTCATGTTATCCAGAGGTAAACAATGAACCATTACCACAATTTTGTGTTTGAAAGTAAATAGCAAGCTAGCCAATGTTAGCCAGTTAGCTTGGGTGCTTTACTGCCGTTGTGAGGTCAGAACGCTAGGATCAACCCTGCTCATCGGCCAGAGCGTCAAGTGTGCGCTCTGAACGCTCCAAGAGCGAAACGAGATGGGTGGGGCTAAAGCTTAAGAGGGTGTGAACGATGCTGAATGGGTGTAGAAAAAGAAGAGCTCTTCACTTGGTACCAAAACATTCAAAGGCCATTTTCTCAAAAGTGAGTTTACAAGTTTATCAACTTTCAAAGCAGAATTACTTTCCCATTGTTCCTCAAAAATGCAGTGTATGATATACCATTTTGTAGCTCTGTCTCTTCTTTTATCCAATGTAAAAAACACAATTTCAAATTTTGCTACATAAGACCGATTTGAGCCGGTCGGTCACATATTGTTCATGTTGACTAACTTAATTATGGGAGTGCATAACATTCTGTCTAGAAGTCTATCATTATTTAATAAATGTGTGTATTTAATTACCCATCGTGCTTTCTCATCATCAGTGAGACTGTTTGATGTTTTATCCACTGTTTTGGACTGCAATGTTTTCAAAGATTCAAGTAGACAACCTTTCACATCTGCCTCATGGGCTGATAGAATCTGTAGTTCTTGTGGCCTTTGATTGTTTTTGGACTACAGGAGACTGTTGTCCTGAACTCCAATTGGAGGGGTGGCTCCAAATGTCAGGGCTATTCTATCTCAGCTGCTTGAATGGAATCTCAAGAGAACAATCAGGGGATTCTATTAATGCCCTGGGACTGCCTGGGTGATCCGGTGTTGATTGCATTCTATTTGGAACCAGGCAGCCTCCCAGCCGTGAGCCGGTTGCCCAGTTCTGTCCGACTGCGAAGTCCGCTCAAAACAAATGTGACGTAGGTTAAGCACGTGGAGTATTGAGAAGGATTCTGTGTTTTCACATGCAAAAGGCATTGATTTTTTGATAAAAACGCTTTATCTGCCTTCCCAATGAAAAATAGTTTGATAATTCAAACATATTTTATGGAAAAAATATGTATGTTTCTGAACGATGCACCATGCTGCATTGTTAACAATATGAGCTTGTGGCACAGACTACCGTTTGATTTGAGCAGGGCGTGCCTCCCTCACTTGCATCGCCCGGTCACGTGACGGGCCATAGCCCAGTTCAACCCGGGGAAGCTTAAATTATTGCATTTTCTGAGCGGTTTTGCTCAAGACTTTCTAAATAAAGTGAAAAAGTATTTATTTATGTTGAATCAAGTTTCTGTGGTTTTGTTTGGGGGTGATTCTTACTTAGTTGGTCTGGTATTGCTCAACCTCCCATGAGAACATGGAATGAAACTTTAGAAGAATGCAGAGAAGACAAATGGGGACTGAGTTTAAAAATCACAGAAATGTAGCATTTTGTTCCCTGTTGTCCTATTTGTTCTTTCTTAAGACGTACAATAGAGTATCTAGGCTGAAATATTTTGTTTTTGAAGTCGAGGGTAAATGGAAAATTACATATTTCCAAGGAAAGACAGAAAAATATATTTATTAAAGTTTCAGAGTTGTCGACACATTGTCTGTGAATGTAATTACTGTCCTTGCAGAGACCGTACAGTGATTTAGTTAGCAAAAACTAAAAGGATCACCCACAAAGGATTTGTCCTTTGCCTTCAAGCAGTGAAGTAAAAATAAAATGTACATTACACTGAGTATACCAAACATTAGGAACACCTAATATTGAGTTGCACCCCTCCTCTACAAGGTGTCGAAATCGTTTCACAGGGAAGCTGGCCCATCTTGACTCCAATGCTTCCCACAGTTGTGTCAAGTTGGCTGGATGTCCTCTGCGTGGTGACCGTTCTTGATACACACAGGAAACTGTTGAGCGTGAAACTCAGCAGCATTGTAGTTCTTGACACAAACCAGTGCGCCAGGCACCTACTAACATACCCCGTTCAAAGGCACCTACATTTTTTGTCTTGCACATTCACCCTCTGAATGGCACACATACACAATCCATGTGGATTTAACAAGTGACATCAATAAGGGATCATAGATTTCACCTGGTCAGTCTGTCATGGAAAGAGCAGGTGTTCTTAATGCTTTGTATACTCAGTGTATATCATACATACAGTTAAAGGGACATTTCAAAATGTTCATCTCCAGCTCCACCCCAACATCAAAATATGTGAAAATGGCGCGTTTCTATGTTTTGTAGTAAAACAGATAGAGGAAGATAAGGCTGGAATTACATGAAGCAATGTACACGCAATTTTCGCTACAGTTGCAGGTTGCAAGTGACATCATCTCAAGCAACTTTGCTGTTACATGAAGCAACTCAAACGTGATTAAAATTGCATGCAACAGCCAATCAAATTGAAGCTGCTTGTTTGAGAATTCTAAACTCGCCCGATGTCTTCTGCTGCATTACATTGTGGTTTCACAAATTAATTGTTTATCCAACCGTTTGGTTATTGTAACAGCAAGGATATAGAAGAAATGCAGCCTGTACAATTTAGCTCGCTAGCTAGCCAAAATGACATTGCAAACACCAACACAGCTAACTAGCTAGCACAGTTCATGGTGGAAAATGTCAGTTAACTGGTTAGGGAGAGGTTTGGGTTCAATTAGAAATATAATTTATTGACTGCTAAACCATGTACAATAATTTATATACATCTCCTGTTGTGCTAGTCTCTGTTCTGTCAACCCTGATCAATGGTTGTGCTGCACAGCACTGACAGCTGTGTTGACATTACAACTGGATCAGAATTCCTAACCTTCGAACGGATCATGCAACAAAAGTGTTTGTATTGATTGGCTGTTGCTTGAAACCAAGTTGCAGATGAGTTGCTTATTAGTTGCAGGGGGTGTTTCACGAAGCAATCAAGAAGCAACTAAAATTGCGTGCAATTTGCATCGTGTAATGGCAGCTTGTGTTTCCAATGACATCATCAAGCAATTAGTAGACAATGCCTACTCATACATGCTTAAAATCACATTATGCACACCAATGATGTCATTGGAAACACTTATCTTCTATCTTTTTTACAAAAAAACATAGAAACGTGCCATTTTCACATATGTTGTTGTTGGGGTGGTGCTGGAGATGATGAATATGCAGTTCAATATTTTTGAAATTTCCCTTTAATAAAAAGCTCATACTTTTATCTCCATTCTACTCAGTATTCAGAATAGCTGCTGACAATCCAAGTAAATGTCTTACAACAATTCTGACATATAGCTTTTCACTCTGACGTAGAGCTTGTATCTGCAATCATCATAATTACAGTAGGCAGTATTAGCTGAATTCTACATTCAATACAATGAATCAACATTTTTGTAGCATAATTTACCCCCAGAAATTATGAACTGATCAATTAATGAACATCAAAATATTGAGTGTTATAGAAATAAACAATCGATTGAGTCAATCAAAAACAAAAGCCTTTGTGTTGTCTATACTTGGATCCACGGATTTCCCTATACAGTTTTATCTGCCTTTCATTCTGTACTGTAGCATATGACAATCACGTTGCCATCGACTGGCTGAGTCTGAAGTAATATTGGTTAACCCACAACTAAAATCTTGCATCATTTAGTCAGCTGCGTGATTGTGTCCACGAGAGAGTAACTCTGAAGATATTGTGACTGTCATACGAAACTACTATCGCTAGAGATAAAAAAAACAATACACCTGCTTTCATTGATGTAAATAGCGTCACACAATCCATTTCAATGATTCATGCAGCATGTTTAAGCTGAAGGACAATACATGGAATGTGGTCCCCAGTTAGATTTTATCTCATGTTATTACGTCCAGCATCAAACTAAGCCATCATACAAATATAGAATATGTTCAAATATACTGTAGCAGAAATTATACTATTGCATTGTTTGCTACTGTCTTGCTGCTGCGTAGCATGTTGAGAAAAGGTCATCCTACAATGTGAAAGTGAACCCGCTGACAAATGTAAATTGAAACACCACAGCAGCATTCGTTCCCAGTTCCCACAAATAAGAAATCAACCCTATCCATAGTGGCTACAGAAGAATATAATGTACATAAAGAGGACAAATAGCCTACAAAAAACTGTGAGCAACACAATCTGGTCAGGCAGGGTAGATGCATCTTTAGTGCATAGATTTAAAAGATAATCTCCAAAGCATACAACAAAGAAGAGTAATTTATGTAAAATATGGCATTATATATATTAACTACACAACTAAGGCACTATCTGTGATTAGATGAATTCTCTCCTTTTGTTTTTCCAAAACTTGTCATGGGATATAACAAGTCACATGACATGACTCTCTCAGCTGCCTGTCTACAGTGTAAAACTGGGCGTAAAAATATCTTCTCCTGCTCCCAGAATGATTCTACAGTGAGCAGGAGACGATAGAATGTGGACGAATTCCATATCAGAATGTGGATAGTTTGATGATGTCAGACATAGAAATAGAATTATGCTTTTCAGCAGAACTGATAGTTATTGGTCTTCATCAGCGGTTGCTCCTCCTCTTCGTGCTCACACAACTGGTCACAGGAGCCATCACAACACTTAGGCTCATCATCATCATCACACGGCTCCAACTCCTCAACCATCATGTCCTGCTGCAGCTGGACGTTCTGGTGCTGCTGGGACAGGAGAGCAGAACACTGAAAATAGCAGGTTTCAAAACAAACACTCATTCATGACTTACAGTATTGCTATCTACAGATAATGCTTTAGTCTGGTCAATCCAGTCTGACAATTAAATATGTTTTATGTTGTCCATAGGGTAGATGCAGTTTTATTCTGATAAGAGATATACAGCTTATCCACCATGGTAAACATCCATCCCCCTGTCTGTGTTACCTGATCTGGACGTTCTGGCTGCTCACCCAGTAGTCTCTCAATCAGCTGGTTGATCTTGCTGAAGGTCGGTCGCTCTGTTGGCTCCAGATTCCAGCACATTTTCATGATCGTATACCTAGTGGGACAGAAATACATTCTTACTTTATTCTTCTTTATTCTTACTCTTATGATTATCTATCCTGATGCCTAGTCACTTTACCCTGCCTTTATGTAAATATCTACCTCAAATACTGTACCCCGTACCCCTGCACATTGATCTGGTACTGCTACTCCCTGTATATACAGTAGCTTCATTTTTGTGTATTTTATATGTGTTATAATTTTTTTACTCTGCATCGTTAGGAAGGGCTTGTAAGAAAGCATGTCACGGTAAAGTCTACATCTGTTGTATTCAGCGCATGGGACAAATATAATTTCATTTGTTTTGAAATATCATATTGGTTACGATACAGTATCAAAAATACAATATTTTGTAGCATTCATCATCGTTCTGCAAGGCCCTCAAGCATCATGGAGAAGATTGTCTCAATATAGAGCTCTATGGTCTTTCGAACCCCGCCATGTCCATATCAAATGACAGTATACTTTTCAGTTGCCATACTTCTGCCTTGTGCTACTTAGACCCCTTTTTGGCCAATCTTTGGGGTTGTATGTAACTAGATCCGAGAATGATAAGCATGGTTGATTGTGACGCACAGATAGGCACACCTCATAAACGCCACTACAGTCCCTCCAGTCTTCTCCCTGCCTGGGCTGTGAAATGGCTCAGTTCCGGGCTCCAGCCTGCTGATCATGTGGCTAACACGCAGAACCATGCCTGACCAAGGACTGACTCACCCCCACACAAAGGGGCCCAGATGACTATGTCCTGACTCAGTCTCAGTACCCTCTGTCTCCGGACCCACAATACAGTTATTCTGGGTAGTGTGACAACCACAGCGAATCGACACACACAGATGTATGGAGCCTTGGAGATATTGAAAAATACACTCTTTATTCCTCGTTTCTGTGGGGTGTTTGCTTGTGGTGGAGAGCTTTTTCAATGTAGGGCTCAGAACTCCAGCAAAGTAATCTGGAATCAGCGATGCCTAATGCTTTTAAGGCACAATAAATTGAATTTGATTACAAATGCTGAAAAGGGGGTATGACTGGAAGATAGGGGGTCTTTGTTCAGTCTTACAGAATATTCTAAAAGGATATTGTAATATACATGAATCTGTATCCCAATGAAGCTAAAGGCTTCAGCCAGAAGGGGGACAAGGTTATTTAAACCTAAAAGCCCTGAATCTGTAACTTACATCTCTGGAGGTGCGAAGTCTGGTCGAGACATCTGATAACCACACTTTATCATGTTGTAGAATTTAGTGTCCACCAGGATACTGGGGTAGGGGCTCTTTCCTAAAGAAATTAAACAAAACACATGAATTAAACAACTAAACAAGAACGACTGAATGATTTCACCAGAGATATCAAAATCTATTATGTTGAGAGATTCATATTTATGCCAGCTCACCTAGAGAGAAGATCTCCCATAGCAGGATCCCATAGGACCAGACGTCACTCTGGACAGTGTAGAGACAGTCAAAGATACTCTCTGGAGCCATCCACTTCACTGGCAGACGCGCCTATAGACACATGGTGTGAGGAAACGCATATCAAATACACATGAATGGTTTTTTATTGACATGGAACATGTTATTGAGGTTGTTGTTGTTTGCTCACATTGCCCTTCACCACATAGTTGGAGTCATTCATGATGTCACGTGCCAGGCCGAAGTCACAGATCTTAGCCACACGGCGGTCTGTCAGGAGAACGTTCCGGGCTGCAACGTCCCGGTGAATACACTGAGACAAAGAGACAGACAGAGAGAGAATCAGTTACAGTAGCTTACTACAACATCACAAAGAGCATCTCTTATCTCTATCAGATTATATTTAAACATATATAGTATGCTGAATTTTCACCAAACATAATCTCAAACTGAAATATTAGTAGTTATACAAGCCTTGTTTCGCAACCTTTATTTTGAAACTCACGTTCTTGGCTGCCAGGAAGTCCAGGCCCTGAGCCACCTGGTAGGAGAACCTCAGCAGGTCATCCATGTCCAATGGCCACGAGTCCGGCCCACCCTCCTCACACACAGAGTCTGATAGAATAGAATATCATTTTATGTTCATAGAAATGTCTGAGACAAACAACAATAAACTGGTGAACCAATGCAATGACTGGTTCTAGATAAAAGAGAAGGGAGTAAGACAGATAAATTACCCAGAGAGGAGTTGACAAGCTGGGGACCAGGCCTCATCTCCAGGTAGCTGTCAGAACACACACTGGCTATCCCACTATCACTGGTAGAGGGAGCGGAGGAAGGGATCAGGGGAGGAGAGGAGGGTGAGGGTCGGGAGGAGGGAAATCACACAAAGTGGTTACTTCACAAGGCTGCTGCTGTGTAAGCTGAATAAAGGTGAGTGCATGCTTTTTCATGAGCTTGGTGCATGCCAACAATATCCATACTTTCTGATGAACTGTTTCCCCTCACAGAGGTTCTTGTAGTCACTGGTCTCTTCTGGTACCTCTGGTATGTTCATGACAAAGTTCAGGAAGGTCTCCTGCTTGTGTCGCAGGAAGTTCAGAAGGTCGCCATAACTACAGTACTCAGTGATCACCAGTACAGGTCCTGAGAGAAGAAAAATTGACATTTTCAATAAATGGAGAAAACTTTCAAACTTCCACATAGGTTTGAATTGAAATATTTGGGCCAAATTTGACTCAAATACATAAAAAAAAATACAGATACTGTAATTCTCTGAATGTCTCTGCACATCTTCAGATAGGAAGCTGTGTTTTATAGTGTTCAGTCTCACCCGCCTGAGTGCAGGCTCCCAGGAGGTTGACAATGTTCTTGTGCTGTCCCAGGTGACTCAGGATCTTCAGTTCTGACATCAAAGCCTCTCTCTCATCTGAGTGGGCCCTGGCTGCAGAAAGAGATAGATAGAGAGAGAAAGAAACCCAATCATATGATACTTCTGTAACACTATGATCACAGACAGTTTCTCAGACTTTGATCAATTCTACTCCTGAACTAAAAAAACTTGTTCAATTCAATGGATTCTGACCTTTGAGCATCTTTACAGCCACTCGCATCGCGTTGTCGTCCTCCCCCAGACCATAGGCTGTGGCCTCCACCACCTTCCCAAAGGCCCCGGCTCCTAGGATCTTCCCTGCAGGTCACACAGCCAACGCATCACTTTTTCACTCATTCACCATACAGTATGGACTATCAAACCCAGAGATGGGCAACTGGCGGCCCACCCACGGACCAATTTCACACCGTTAGAATAATAGAATACACAAGGTGCAATGTCGAAATTTGGTTGTGCATCAGCAGTCACTCGATTAGCCCATGTCAGCATTTTTTTTTTTAGCTTTGTAAGTTAGTCTAGCGGCCAGCTATCTAAACTTGTAGTAAGCATGGTTGAATTACCGACGGGATGGGGCTCATTGATCATGAGTTATCATAATAAAAACTGCTAACATTTGCCTCCACCTTATGTGTAGAATTGCAGGAAATTAGCTCTAAAACTACACATTTTTCTCTCTGCCCCATGGCAAAATGTGTAGAATTGCAGCAAACTTGCTTTAAAACGGCAACATTTTCTCTACGCCACATGGCAAAATGTGCAGAATTTCTGGAAATGAACTTTAACCCCCTTGTGGGAGTCATAGTTTTGCTCTACGACCCCCAGCCAACTTCTGTCTGTAGTGTCCGAACAGTTTGGGTTACACACTAATATGACCCCTCTGTGGAAAGGTGAGTCTCTCACAAACACGTACATGTCCGCTGTTTTGCCTCACAAGACTCCTCTGAAGGTCCCCTAGTACCAGTTAAAAAAATGAATGGAAGTACTCTAAACAGTATATGGAGATAGTTTAGTGTCAAAAATAAGGAGGCAAATACAAATCTTTCTTAAATAGACAGACACTTCAGAACAAACTTCCTTTTAATTTTTTGGGGGACTATCTGTTGTTCCATGTAGTGACTCTATTCAATGTCTTTGTATGGGCTAATAGTAGTAAGGCCAAATTACATTTTTCCTGAAACTTTCAAGAACCAAACCACTGCACTGCACAAACCCAGCTTGAGCTTGTCCCTGGGAAACTCCCACTTCTCATTGTACGGCATCTGAGTTGGGTCGATAAAGGTATAGTTGTTTCCTTCATTGGCCTGGATGATCTTCCACCGGATCTCATATCTTGGTTTCTGTAGAGGGAAGGAAATGTTCATTAGTCAACCATTTTGAATAACTAAGGGTTCTCCATGGTTTCTTTGACTAAAGGTAACAATGATTTCAAACTAGAAATATTTGTGAATACTCTATTCATGAATATATCAGTTTGTTACCTAGTTTTATTTTAGATGAGATCACATACTGGTCTATTAGTATATTTTCTATATTGCAGAGGGTGTTGTGTGCCCTACCTGCTTGTATTTGTAGAGCAGGACCATGAGTAGCAGGAGGAGGAAGGCCAGAACACCAGCTGCTCCCGATAGGGTGGAGGGGAACATTTTATCTATCCAATCAGAGAGCAGAGTCAGGGGGGCTGGTGATGACACACTCAGAACTTTCTGTGTGTGATGGCTTTGTTATGGGTTTATGTGGAACCAAGGAAGAATAGCTGTAGCTAAAGTAATGGCTATTGTGAATCTGAATAAACAGATGTACAGACAGACATGTACAGTTCATTTACTTGACAATGATGACACAGGAAAAAGGAGTATGAACTAGATAAGACAGTAAGCTTGAGGATAACCATGGATAACCGTGCTCTGGTCTTACCGGAAACTTCCATGGCAAAGGTGTCTTTACCGACGCCAACCAGGTTGAAGGCGACACACTCCACGGTCATCCTACGACTGGATGGTCCCACTGTCAGGACGCTCTGGACCTCGACCGCTCCGTACTCCTCCCTCTGGACCTCGACCGTTTGGGCCAAGAGAGGAGCAGGCATCTGGAGACCTGTTGCATTCTCATTGCACCTGTTCCATAGGAAGATACAGATAGGATAGAGTTCCCCATTTAGTTATGATATCTAATACGTCATGATAAAAAAAAAAAACATACTATATTTATTAAGTCTATCTTTTACGATGGCAATATCATACCACTGTGCCCTCTCTAACACCTACGTGGTTCGGATTCCAGAGCACTGGTACCAGAGGATTATGGGAGCAGGGTAACCAAACGACGTGCACGTGAGGGTGGTGATGTTCTCCCATCTCACCACGGCAACCGGCCTCTCTGCCAATCAAGAGAGAGCAGAGGTAGTCAGTGGCATGGTCAAACAATACTCACACACTCAAAATAGAGACAAATATGTTCAATAGATGCTGTGCTGAAAATGAATTTATTCCTCAGTGTATGGTTGTTGTATGAACTGACACTGTGTGTCTGTATTAGTATGTCTGTACTTATACAGACTACTCGTACTTTACTTACGATACATTTGGATTTGGAATGTAATGGATGCGTTGGCCATGGAACTCCTGGCATAGAAGGTGTACTGGCCCTGCTCCTGTGTAATCATCCTCTTGAGCAGCAGGGTAGCGGAATACCTGAGTGAAAAACAGACCAGATCTACACTCTTAGAAAAAAAGGTGCTATCTAGAACTTAAAAGGGTTATTCGGCTGTCCCCATAAGAGAACCCTATGAAGAACACTTTTTGGTTCCAGGTAGAACTGTTTTTGTTCCATGTAGAATCATTTTGAGTTCCACAGAGAGATCTATCTGGAACCAAAAAGGGTTCTCCTATGGGGACAGCTGAATAACCCTTTTGGAACCCTTTTTTCTAAGAGTGTATTGTAGAATCACTGGATATCATTAACTGGGACAAAAGAGGAATGAATGCAGATGACGTGCTGTGGTTTGATGACTAATACATGCTAGTTCTCCTTAGACAGTTATTGCTATGTGTCATCGCGGAGGTAAAACATTAGCTCCTTCCTTCCCTTAACTCTAGTTTCATAGCACAGAACTCTTCGGACCGGTGGTGGTGACCTCTGAGTTTGTGCCAGATAAACAAATAAACTGAAACATCAGCTAATTTCAAATCTTCTGCAGCTTCCCCATTCTGAATTACAGTGCATTCGGAAAGTAGTCAGACCCCTTGACTTTTTCCACATTTTGTTACGTTACAGCCTTATTCAAAAATGTATTAAAGAAAGATGTTCCTGTCACGCCCTGGCTCTGGGGACTCTAGTATGTTGAGCCAGGGTGTGAGTTTTCATGTGTTTCTGTTCTAGTATGTTATATTTCTATGTTGGCCAGTGTGGTTCTCAATCAGAGGCAACGTGTATCAGCTGTTGCTTGTTGTCTCTGATTGAGAACCATACTTTAGTAGCCAGTTTTCCCACAGTGTTTGTGGGATCTTGTTCCTTTTGGTTTGTTCCGTGTTGGTTGTTTAACCGTAGGACTTCACGTGTCGTTATCATTTGTTGTTTTGTTCTTGTTATCACTAAAGATAATAAAGTATGTTCGCTCATCACGCTGCGCCTTGGTCTACTCCGTCTAACGATCGTGACAGAAGATCCCACCATACCAGGACCAAGCAGCGTGTCCAGGAGCCATCGCCAGGGGAATCGCTAGCGGATCTCCGTGGCAACTTCGACTGGGTCAAGCCTAGTGAAGAGCAGAGAGGGTGGACTTGGGAGCAGTGGAGGAAGAGTCTCGACTGGGTCAAGCCAAATGAAGAGCAGAGTGGTTGGACTTTGGAGCAGTGGAGGAAGAGTCTGGCGAGAGATAGGGAGGCTTGGTCCACGGGGAGGAGAGACACCCAGAAATTTTTTAGGGGGGGGCTCACGCCGTGGACGACGGGGCAGCAGGAGGCCGCGATGGAGCGGTCCAGCGGGTTTGTAGAGGAGGCCGCCAGGTTAAGGGGGCCACTGGTCACAGAGGAGAGGGAGAGTGTAGATGCACGGCGAGAGGTACTGGGGTGTGTTACCAGTCCGGTCCGGCCCGTTCCTGATCCCTGCGTAGGGCCAGTGGTGTGTGTCCCCAGTACGGTCCGGCCTGTTCCTGTTCCTCGCATCGAGCCTGTGGTGCGTGTCGTCAGCCCGGCCCGGCCTGTTCCTGCTCCCCGCACCGAGCCTATGGTGTGCGTCGCCAGCCCGGCCCGGCCTGTTCCTGCTCCCCGCACCAAGCCTATGGTGCGCGTCGCCAGCCCGGTTCGGCCCGTTCCTGCTCCCCGCACCAAGCTTATGGTGCGCGTCACCAGCCCGGCCCGGCCTGTTCCTGCTCTCCGCACCGAGCCTATGGTGCGCGTCGCCAGCCCGGCCCGGCCTGTTCCTGCTCCCCGCACCAAGCCTATGGTGCGCGTCGCCAGCCCGGTCCGGCCCGTTCCTGCTCCCCGCACCAAGCCTATGGTGCGCGTCGCCAGCCCGGCCCGGCCTGTTCCTGCTCTCCGCACCGAGCCTATGGTGCGCGTCGCCAGCCCGGCCCGGCCTGTTCCTGCTCCCCGCACCAAGCCTATGGTGCGCGTCGCCAGCCCAGTCCGGCCCGCTCCTGCTCCCCGCACCAAGCCTATGGTGCACGTCGCCAGCCCGGCTCGGCCTGTTCCTGCTCCCCACACCAAGCCAGTGGTGTGCGTCGTCAGTCTGGCACAGCCCGTGCCTGTTCCACCGGTGCCAGGTCCGGTACCGGTCAGCTGCTCCACGCCGGAGCTAGAGCAATCCGCTCCACCAGTGTTCAGTCCAGCTCCGGCCAGCAGGGCCAGACCGGACCAGGGGTACTTTGGGGGGTTAGAGGGGGAGTGGGGATCATGCCCGGAGCCGGATCCGCCGCCAAGGTGGAGTGCCCACCCGGTCCCTCCCCTGTGGTGTTTGGTTGGCGCGGTCGGAGTCCGCGCCTTTGGGGGGGGGGGGGGGGGGGGGTACTGTCACGCCCTGGCTCTGGGGACTCTAGTATGTTGAGCCAGGGTGTGAGTTTTCATGTGTTTCTGTTCTAGTATGTTATATTTCTATGTTGGCCAGTGTGGTTCTCAATCAGAGGCAACGTGTATCAGCTGTTGCTTGTTGTCTCTGATTGAGAACCATACTTTAGCAGCCAGTTTTCCCACAGTGTTTGTGGGATCTTGTTCCTTTTGGTTTGTTCCGTGTTGGTTGTTTAACCGTAGGACTTCACGTGTCGTTATCATTTGTTGTTTTGTTCTTGTTATCACTAAAGATAATAAAGTATGTTCGCTCATCACGCTGCGCCTTGGTCTACTCCGTCTAACGATCGTGACAGTTCCTCATCAATTTACACACAATACCCCATAATGACAAAGCGGAAAACAGTTTTTTTTGTGTGTGCAAATTTATAAAATATTAAAAACAGAAATACATTGTTTATATAAGTATTCAGACCCTTTGCTATGAGACTTGAAATTGAGCTCAGGTGCATCCTGTTTCCATTGATCATCCTTGAGATGTTTCTACAACTTGATTGGAGTCCACCTGTGGTAAATTAAATTGATTGGACATAATTTGGAAAGGCAAACACGTGTCTATATAAGGTCCCACAGTTGACTGTGCATGTCAGATCAAAAACCAAGCCATGAGGTTGAATGCATTGTCCGTAGAGCGCCGAGACAGGATTGTGTCGAGGCACAGATCTGGGGAAGGGTACCACATTTTTTTTTGCAGAATTGAAGGTCCCCAAGAACACAGTAGCTTCCATCATTCTTAAATGGAAGAAGTTTGGAACCACCAAGACCACCAAGACTCGGGGGAGAAGGGCCTTGGTCAGGGAGGTGACCAAGAACCCAATGGTCGCTCTGACAGAGCTCCAGAGTTCCTCTGTGGAGATGGGAGAACCTTCCAGAAGGACAACCATCTCTGCAGCACTCCACCAATCAGGCCTTTATGGTAGAGTGGCCAGACGGAAACCACTCCTCAGTAAAAGGCACATGACAGCCCGCTTGGAGTACAAGACTCTCTGGTCAGATGAAACCAAGATTGAACTCTTTGGCCTTAATGCCAAGCATCACGTTTGGAGGAAACCTGGCACCATCCCTACTGTATAGCATGGTGGTGGCAGCATCATACTGTTGGGATGTTTTTCAGCGGCAGGGACTGGAAGACTAGTCTGGATTGAGGGAAAGATGAACGGAGCCAAGTACAGAGAGATTCTTGATGAAAACCTGCTCCAGGACTTGAACCCGATCGAACATCTCTGGAGGGTACTGAAAATAGCAGTGCAGCGACGCTCCCCATCCAACATGACAGAGTTTGAGAGGATCTGCAGAGAAGAATGGGTTAAACTCCCCAAATACAGGTGTGCCAAGCTTGTAGCGTCATACCCAAGAAGACTCGAGGCTGTAATCGCTGCCAAAGGTGCTTCAACAAAGTACTGAGTAAAGGGTCTGAATACTTATGTAAATGTCATATTTCATATTTTTAATTTTTTTTGCAAACATTTCTAAAAACCTGTTTTTGCTTTGTCATTATGGGGTATTGTGTGTAGACTGAGAAGGAAAAAAAAACTATTTTAGAATAAGGCTGTAACGTAACAAAATGTGGAAAAAGTAAGGGGTCTGAATACTTTCCGAATTATAATTATGATCAAGTGAGCCTTTGATCCGTGAACATTTTAAAATACAGTTTTCTGTTGCTGTCCTTTAGTCCCAAAGCCCCAAATGCCTTCCCAATACAGCTAGAGGAGGATCACTCCTCTCTCAGTCAGTTACCTTCATCTTGTTGTTGTATGAGTTCCACCCACCTATTGTTATAGCGTGTAAAGGTTTGTTCCTGCGTGGAGGAGGCTGTAGGGGTCTCCCAGTGCTTGCCTATGATCTGGGGGTACGCCTCGATCAGGACACTGAGCTTCCGGTCCTCCCCCTCGTTCACCTCAATGGACAGGCCCTGGTGAGCCAGCTTGGAGGACGGCTGGGGAGAAAGACGGATGTAGGGCTCCTCTGGACAGAGACACGGAGAGACATGGGAGGGGTTATCTTCAAGATCAGACAGGGGTGCTTACATCAGGCATTGAAACGGAGAGGGACTTCTGTTGCAAAACGTTTTCCTACAGTGTGCCCTGATTCTAACCATCCAGTTCTGTGACTGGAATATGTTCTAGTATCCCCATGTGTGCCTGAATTATATTAGAGTTATCCAGTAACTTACCTACAACCAGCAGAGAGGTGGTAGATTTGTTCACTCCAGCCTCGTTGGTGCCGATGCAGGTAATGTTGCCTGTGTCTGACTGGTCCACTGCAGGGATGGTCAGGATGCTTTCAATGTCCAGACGGTTAGTGTCCACTGATTGGACATTCTGCTCTATGGTAAATCTCTGTAAGAAGAGACAGAAAAATAACATAATGTCGTTGTCAAGACCTATTATCATGCATTTTAATTTGGCCAACAGTGGAACAAATTTTCATTCCAGAAACTCTGAAAGTGCTTGCCTTTTTGGAGCTGTAATTCCACGTGACATTAAAGTTGAAGTTGGGGTTGTGTGTGGTGCAGTGGATGCTCAGCTTCTCACCCACGATACGAACATACTCGTCCATCTCCAGGAATACATAAGGTGGGAAACGCAGCCCTGGACACAGAGGGAACCAGGAACAAAGCATGTATAATAAAGCAATATGCACAAGCTCCTTTGCCAATTCGAATACTTGTTCTTGAATTTGAAAATATAGCAATTGTACGATACAGTATGGTACATGGGCCTGATCAAGCATGTGCCTTGACTCAGGCCCCTTTAAGTAAAGTATCCCGCCACAACACTCAACCTACTCACTTTGGATGATGTTGAGGTTGAAAGCCTTGGAAGTCCTCTCCACCCCGTGGAGCTTGGCGCTGCAGACGTAGTCAGCATTGTAGCTGGGGTGGAGGTTGCGGATGAGGATGCCTCTGCGGGGGTCTGCTATGTAGTTCATCCCTGGGGGCACAGAGGTACAGTTGTCCATGCGGAGCCCCAAGTCTGTGGCCTCTGGGTCGGTCAGCATGCAGGGGAGAAGGTGGTCCTCCCCCTCCTTCCTCACCACATGCAGGGATGTGCTGCTGGTCCAAAACAGGCTGTCTGGGTCTGGTGGAGAAGGGGGGATGTGTTAGAATGAGGGATACTGGCCAAAACACTCTCTCTACAGGTATGGTAAACAAACAGCAACTCACTCCTCTTCTGAGCTTACCTTTCACATAGACGTGCACAGTAGAGAATAAGTCCCGACCCTTGACGTTCCCACTAGTATATTCACACTTATATGTCCCGGTGTGTTCTGCAGAGGGACGTTCCACCCTGAAGGTTCTGACTCTCCCGTTGCCCTTGGAGATTAAGCTCTTGTGTTTGGATAACCGGGTCAGCCAGTTGACTGGCCCATCCCCCTCACACTTCAGGACCAATGGGGTGCCAGGGTTCAGTACTACGTCAGGCCCAACCACGACCTCTGAGTTTAACTTGATCACAGGACGCCGCCATTCTGCTGAGGTTAACATAGAGATGAGATCATACATCTACATATAGGGCTGTATGTATTGTCATTTCATAGCAATGCATGGACATACTTTTGATACAGATCTCATGCCGCGTTCAAAACAACTGGGAACTCGGAACTCGGAAGTTGGAAATCTCTGACTTCAGTGCGTTCAAGACCACTAGGAACTCAGAAAAAGCTTAGAATTTGTTTTGAACAGACATCCAACTCGGAATTACGAGAACATCACTGACGTGATTTGACCAAATTTTTTTCAGAGTTCCCAGTTTTCTTGAAAGCACCATAATGGTTAGGATGGAGTTCTTCAAAGTTCAAATAAGGGGTGCTTATATTTGTCCTGTTTCACACATGTACAGTGCCTTGCAAAAGTATTCATCCCCCTTGCCGTTTTTCCTATTTTGTAGCATTTTTATTTGGATTTCATGTAATGGACATACACAACATAGTCCAACTTGGTGAAGTGAAATGAAACAAATAACTTGTTTCAAAAAATTCTAAAAAATAAATAACGGAAAAGTGGTGCGTGCATATGTATTCACCCCCTTTGCTATGAAGCCCCTATATAAGATCTGGTGCAACCAATTAAATTCAGAAGCCACATAATTAGTTAAATAAAGTCCACCTGTGTGCAATCTAAGTGTCACATGATCGGTCACATGATCTCAGTATATATACACCTGTTCTGAAAGGCCCCAGAGTCTGCAACACCACTAAGCAAGGGGCACCATCAAGCAAGCGGCACCATGAAGACCAAGGTGCTCTCCAAACGGGTCTGGGACAAAGTTGTGGAGAAGTACAGATCAGGGTTGGATTATAAAAAAATATCTGAAACTTTTAACATCCCACGGAGCATCATTAAATCCATTATTAAAAATTGAAAGAATATGGCACCACAACAAACCTGCCAAGAGAGGGCCGCCCACCAAAACTCACGGACCAGGCAAGGAGGGCATTACTCAGAGAGGCAACAAAGAGACCAAAGATAACCCTGAAGGAGCTACAATGCTCCACAGCGGAGATTGGAGTATCTGTCCATAGGACCACTTTAAGCCCTACACTCCACAGAGCTGGTCTTTACGGAAGAGTGGCCAGAAAAAAGCCATTGCTTAAAGAAAAAAATAAGCAAACACGTTTGGTGTTCGCCAAAAGGCATGTGGGAGACTCCCCAAACATATGGAAGAAGGTACTCTGGTCAGATGAGACTAAAATTGAGCTTTTTGGCCATCAAGGAAAACATTATGTCTGGCGCAAACCCAACACCTCTCATCACCCCGAGAACACCATCCCCACAGTGAAGCATGGTGGTGGCAGCATCATGCTGTGGGGATATTTTCATCGACAGGGACTGGGAAACTGGTCAGAATTGAAGGAATGATGGATGGCGCTAAATACAGGGAAATTCTTGAGGGAAACCTGTTTCAGTCAGAGATTTGAGACTGGGACAGAGGTTTCACCTTCCAGCAGGACAATGACCCTAAGCATACTGCTAAAGCAACACTCGAGTGGTTTAAGGGGAAACATTTAAATATCTTGGAATGGCCTAGTCAAAGCCCAGACCTCAATCCAATTGAGAATCTGTGGTATGACTTAAAGATTGTTGTACACCAGCGGAACCCATCCAACTTGAAGGAGCTGGAGCAGTTTTGCCTTGAAGAATGGGAAAAAATCCCAGTGGCTAGATGTGCCAAGCTTATAGAGACATACCCCAAGAGACTTGCAGCTGTAATTGCTGCAAAAGGTGCCTCTACAAAGTATTGACTATGGGGGGGGGGGGGGGGGGGGGAGTTTTCTTATTCTTGTTTGTTTCACAAGAAAAAATTGTTTGCATCTTCAAAGTGGTAGGCATGTTGTGCATCTTCAAAGTGGTAGGCATGTTGTGCAAATCAAATGATACAAACCCCCCAAAAAATCCATTTTAATTCCAGGTTGTAAGGCAACAAAATAGGAAAAATTCCAATGGGGGTGAATACTTTTGCAAGCCACTGTACAAGTGTCAGGTATAAAATGTAAATGTGTTTCTTGCATATCCTCCTACTGAGAATGGGGTCACAGCCAGGGATCAGCCATTATTGACGGCGACCCTGGAGCAAACAGGTTTTTCACCTAGTCGACTCAGGGATTCGAACTACTGTAGCAACCTTTCGGCCCAATGCTCTTAACCGCTTTGCTACCTGCCACCTTGTGCATGACCAGGAAACTCTGATTCCTAAACATGGTTATATCAACTGGTTTTAATTCAGTCAACTCTGTCAAGACAAGATTTAAACCTCAAATCACTATTTCTTTCTGAAAGTCGTTTTAAGATTAAAAGTCATCTTGGACACCACAAATTCAGGAAACAAATTGCAGAACTGGCCAGCCTGGCACTAAAGGAGAGGTCCTATTCTCTCTCTCACTTCTGCTTTTCTTCTCTGTATTGATGTCACGATACCGAGGACGGGAGTGAATGGAGACACATTTACTAGTCAGGGACCCCCAGGCATTTCACAATTTAGTTGTAGCCCTGAACTATCTCAGCTGATTCACCTAGTCAAGGGTCGCGTCCCCCTGCTCAGATGTTGCATGCATCAACTAATGGTTGCGTGTCACGTCATCGACAGTACCGGTCGGGCACCAAATTGCTATAATATATGATGTGGTTAGCTGATACATAAAATACATATGCAGGCGTGTAAGATCTGGCATCCGTCAGAAACGCCTGGGCAGAGGAACGCGCCGAAGGGCTTGATGATTAGTTGACGAGTTGAATCAGGTGTGCCAGCTCTGGAATATATCAAATACATGTTAAATACAGTTAAATAAAGGTTAAATAAAAATAAATATCAAATACATGGAACGGCTGGGGGTCCCTGAGGAGAGGTTTGAGAACCACCGTCCTAGACTATGGTAATGCCCTGGCCCTTTTACACCCTCAAACACAAGACAAAATCAAACAAAGAATTCCTTATTTTCTTCCGAAAACGGAAGGGACAGAGTGAGACAGATGGAGCTGTATGGGGTGGTAAAAACATGGATATGTCCTCGCTTAGCGTGTGACGAAGCTAACTGCTGGTGATGCTGTGATACAGGGACAAACAATGCCTTCTTTGAGACACTCCAGCAAATCACTGGGGCCAAGGGAGGTTGAAGAACTTCAACATAAATCTACAGTAGGCTACGGCTTCAAATAACATGTTTTTCTTATCTTACACGACTGCACATGTATTTTATGTATCAGCTAACCACATCATATACTATAGCAATTTGCTGCCCGACGGTACTGTCGATGACGTGACACGCAACCATTAGTTGATGCATGCAACATCTGAGCAGGGGAACGCGACCCTTGACTGGGTGAATCAGCTGAGATAGTTCAGGGCTACAACTAAATTGTGAAATGTCTGGGGGTCCCTGAGGGACTAATAAATGTGTCTCCATTCACTCCCGTCCTCGGTATCGTGACATCGATACAGAGAAGAAAAGCAGAAGTGAGAGAGAGAATAGGACCTCTCCTTTAGAGCCAGGCTGGCCAATTCTGCAATTTGTTTCCTAAATTTGTGGTGTCCAAGATGACTTTTAATCTTAAGACGACTTTCAGAAAGAAATAGTGATTTGAGGTTTAAATCTTGTCTTGACAGAGTTGACTGAATTAAAACCAGTTGATATAACCATGTTTAGGAATCAGAGTTTCCTGATCATGCACAGGGTGGCAGGTAGCAAAGTGGTTAAGTGCATTGGGTCGAAAGGTTGCTACAGTAGTTTGAATCCCTGAGTCGACTAGGTGAAAAACCTGTTTGCTCCAGGGTCGCCGTCAATAATGGCTGATCCCTGGCTGTGACCCCATTCTCAGTGGGAGGATATGCAAAAACGCGACCCTTAACTCTCTAACATCTTATTTGGTAAAAAGTTCATTTGGGCTCTCTTATGGTGCATTTATTTCAGCATCCACTCTCCTGTATCTGGTAAAGCATGGATCAGAAAACAACATCTGAAAATCACAGTAAGTGTTGTCTCAATTCATTCTTACACATAAAGTATGTCTTGTTTTGTTTTATCTCAAAGTAGAACTGAGTTTTGCTGTTCAGCAGATTTTCTTATTTACCACAGTCCACAGCTCAACCTCAGAGGGTCAAAGGGAGGGACTGCTCATGGTTTTGGGCTATTCAGTATTGATTGGGTCTAGACTTCCTGATAACATTACACACCACCTTCCAATGGACTCCAAGTATACTAGCTGCCTATCAAATGGCTGTCGAGCAATGGAACAACAACAGCAGCAGATGTACAGGACAGTACGGTCCTACCAGTGGAGGCTCCTCGGAGGAGAAAGGGGAGGATGATCTCCTCAGTGAATTTCATAAAAATTAAAAGAGTGAAACATCATAAAAGCTATCATTTTTAGATAAAACTATACTAAATATATTCTAGTCACCAAATAATTGATTAAAACACACTGTTTTGCAATGAATGTCTACAGTGGCCTCAACAGCGCTCTGTAGGGTAGCACCATGGTGTAGCCGGAGGAAAACTAGTTTCCGTCCTCCTCTGGGTTCATTGACTTCAATACAAAACCTAGGAGGCTCATGGTTCTCAACCCCTTCCATAGACTTACACAGTAATTATGACAACTTCTGGAGGACGTCATCCAACCTATCAGAGCTCTTACAGTATGAACTGACATTTTGTCCACCCAATCAAAGAATCAGAGAATTAATCTAATACTGAAAGCATAAACTACAGCTAGCTAGCATAAAATGTGATTGGTAGTTCACTCAAAGAAAGAGAAAGACAATAGCCCCATCTGTTTAGCCCCGCCGGCATGTTATTTTGGCATTAATACGTGTCACATATCAGTTTGCATATAATGTAAAAAAAATGCAGGTGTTTCAGCCTAGCTCAGTGCTTTCTGTGGTGGTGGTGCAGCCAGCAGAAAATATGGAGCGGAGGGGTTGGTAATGTTCTTTAGATGAGCCATGACTGGCTCAGTGTTCTGTCACTCATGGGGACACTCCGTCACCGTAAAATCTATGGAGAGAACTCGAAAATTCAAGCCCCTTGGGTGATGCCATCATCCGAGAAGACTCAAAGCTCAAAGGTCATTGGCCTCAGATAAAATGACATCAAATCACGTTATATCTACCGTAGCTTTGATTGGACTGATCATGTTAACATCATACTTTCAAAATCGGTGCTCATTGGCCATTGGACATAAACATTACACCAGTGGTGGAAAAAGTACCCAATTGTCATATTTGAATAAAAGTAAAGATACCTTAATAGAAAATGAATTAAGTAAAAGTGAAAGTCACCCAGTAAAATTCTACTTGAGTAAAAGTCTAAAAGTATTTGGTTTTACATATGCTTAAGTATCAATAGTAAAAGTATAAATCATATCAAATTCCTTATATTAAGCATATCAGATGGCACCATTTTCTTGTTTTTTACATTTACGGATAGCCAGGAGCATACTCCAACACTCAGACATCATTTACAAACTAAGCATTTGTGTTTAGTGAGTCCGCCAGATCAGAGGCAGTAGGGATGACAAGGGATGTTCTCTTGATAAGTGTGTGAATTGGACCATTTTCCTGTCCTGCTAAGCATTCAAAATGTAGCTAGTACTTTGGGTGTCAGGGAAAATGTATGGAGTAAAAAGTACATTATTTCTTTAGGAATGTAGTGAAGTAAAAGCAAAAGTTGTCCAAAATATAAATAGAAAAGTAAAGTACAGATACCCCCAAAAACGACTTAAGTAGTACTTTAAAGTAGTTTTACTTAAGTACTTTACACCATTGAATTACACAACAAGTTGAAAATTCAACAATGAGTGGTTTGGAAGGATTCAGTGGCTAACTGCAAGCATTGCAAAGTAATCACTAGCCTGCTATTCAGTGGAGTGGGTGTGTGGTCCAAGTCTGGGTTTAAGGGTCTCTTTTCCAAGCTTAAAAGGGTAAACATTCACATGCTATCGGCCAGAAAAGGTTGAATACATTGGCCATGCTGTCAATCCAGCATGACTTCTGCCGCGTTCAAAACAACTGGAAACTCGGAACTGGGAAATCTCAGACTTCAGTGAGTTCAAAACAACTGGGAACTCTGAAAATAATGAGCTCCGACTGGGAAAATAAGCTTTGAACAGTTATCCAAATTGGAATTCCAAGTCAGGAACTCGGGCCTCTTTCTAGAGCTCCGACCTGAAGATCACTGATGTCATGATTCAACCTTGTTTTTTTTTCCTGAGTTCCCAGTTGTCTTGAAAGCACTATAAATCCAGAGAATGCCTGATTTTGATGACAAAGTTTGATGACAAAATTTGCAGACAAGAATGACTGCCCCGCCACCTTCCTGTTCAAGTGAGCACAGCACAACAATGTGAGTCCAAAAATGTATTGTATGCTGCTGCATAAATGATGTAATATGCCAGGGAGATATGTATGCTGTAGCTAAGAAAGTAATACTAAGTGTATGTTGTGTAGTAAGCTGTTAGTAGCCCATGTGCCTCACCCTAATAATTTGGTCCCTTTCCCTCTCATAATTTAGCCTACTGTTCTGACTTGGTGGTGCACATGTAGCCTGTAGCCTGTTTTAGGGAAATGTAGTCATCGAATATTGTAAGAGCTTTCATTGTCTGCTTAGATGCCCCATTTATTTATCCTATGGTTCTGACTTGGTGTACAGGGAGAATAAGAATGGCCCATGTTCTGAATTCTGTCACTGTACATTTCAAAAGTGCTCAACAAAAAGTTGTATTGACTACGTCCGTCCTAGCTCACTCATTAATGTCTTAATCGAAATTACGGATTGCCTCTTATTCGCTCATCGTTCCCTTATGCCATAGTTTCTACATCTCAACTGTCAGCAAAAACCACATTTGTTTAAGCAAGTCAGCCATATCAGCTATGTTTTTTTTTAAAGGCAGTAAATGAGGCTGAATGAACTGTTTCGCTGCCAGACAAGGCTCCGCTAATAGCCAGGTTTAGCGGTGGTAAGGATTCACTCCATGGTGCTGAAAACAAAGCTCTGCTGTTGGGACAACTTTATATAGGTTCTAACAGTTTGTAGGCACTGTTTGTCACCGTTATAGTGCAATTAATGTATTGTTTAGTGTTGTGTAGTGGCTTTGCTGGCATGCATCTCCATTTTTGGGGGGGAGTTTGCCCACCAAGATTTACATGCTAAAACCGACACTGACTCTAACATCCGGCTCAATCAGAGAGGGATGCTATGTTAGCTAGTTGGCTATGGCTATCCAACACTGTAAATCTTCCAAGTCAATGTAAGGTATTACTTTATTGCCACTGGGGCCCACCAGTGTAACTGCTAAAGTGCTTGCTCTGCTGACTGTACACTGTGCTGTATGATTGTAGTGGGTTTACTAATGCATTAATTATATTAGCTATGTTGACTATGATGTTAGATAATATGGAACAACGATGTAGGCTGTGTGTAGCGATTATGATATGAAGGTTTGGCTTGGAACGTTTTTTTTTGCCTGGTCACAGACAGCTGATGTGTTGTGCACTGAAGTCCACAAGCGAAGGGAAAAGGTGAGAGGAGGAGAGCACCTAGGTGTGAGAAGGAATTACAACGAGCAAAGTGATCATGTGGCTGCTATGAAAGTGAACTGTGTTTGCGTGTGATCAGCCGTGTATTCATTCCGCCGATTCTGTTGAAAGATGTTTCTTAAAAGGAAGCAAACGGAACGAAATGGTGATGAACATACCTGAATTTGTCCAATAGAAACTCTTGTTTGGTAACTGTTGGACTAATGATTACACCCTAGAACAGCTAGATGCAGGCAAGAGTGTGCAAGGCGGGATTGAATGTGTCACTGTCTGTCACTTTGATTGCTAAAAATTCTCTCAACCTGTGCATCTACACTACCAGTCAAAAGAATCGACTTGATTGGGCCAAGAAACACGAGCAATGAACATTAGACCGGTGGAAATTTGTTCTTTGTCTGGAGTCCAAATTTGAGATTTTTGGTTCCAACTTGTCTTTGTGAGACGCAGTGTGGGTGAACGGATGATCTCTGCATGTGTATTTCCCACCATAAAGCACGGAGGAGGAGGTGTTATGGTGTGGGGGTGCTTTGCTGGTGACACTGTCTGTGATTTATTTAGAATTCAAGTCACACTTAACTAGCATGGCTACCATAGCATTCTGCAGTGATACACCATCCCATCTGGTCTGGGCTTAGTGGGACTATCATTTGTTCTTCAACAGGACAATGACCCAACACACCTCCAGGCTGTGTAAGGGCTATTTTACCAAATTGAGATGGTTTGGGATGAGTCGGACAGCAGAGTGAAGGAAAAGCAGCCAACTCCTCCTTCAAGACTGTTGAAGCATTCCAGGTGAAGCTGGTTGAGAGAATGCCAAGAGTGTGCAAAGCTGTCATCAAGGCAAAGGGTGGCTATTTGAAGAATCTCAAATATAAACTAACTTTTGATTTGTTTAACACTTTTTTGTTTACTACATGATTCCATTTGTGTTATTTCATAGTTTCTACAATGTAGAAAATAGTAAAAAATAAAGAAAAACCCTTGAATGAGTAGTTGTTCTAAAACTTCTGACCGGTAGTGTACATTGTAAACTTTAAGTCATAAAGTAGGTGATGGGTATAGGAAAATTTGAGTATCATGTAGTAGCTGAGCTGGGTGAATGGAATATGAATGACAGTCATCCAATATGCTGTAATAGAAATAAGGCCATGCTCATAAAACAAATGTGCGCCCTCCCTCATCTTAAACGGCACCAACCGCCACTGGGTCCTACATATGATTTTCCATATTCAAGAAGTCAGTCATAACATCTAATGGAACTATTCATGAAATATTATAGTTTTACATACATATTATACTTTCAAACATATAAATCAACAAAGCAACAAATGACCCCACTTGAAATTAGGTCTAAGAATTAACCAAAAAGCAGACAAATCATTTCAGCCGTAATTAGGACAGCAACAGATGCTTATTTAATATATTGTCTTAGCAATGTGATGTGACATATAAAAATACTTTAAAGTACTGCTTAAGTCGTTTTTTGGGATATCTGTACTTTACTTTACTATTGATATTTTGAACAACTTTTACGTTTACTCCACTATATTCCTAAAGACAAGAATGTACTTTTTACTCCATACATTTTCCCTAACACCCAAAAGTACTAGTTACATTTCGAATGATTAGCATGACTGAAAAATTATCTAATTCACACACTTATCAAGAGAACATCCGTAAAAGAATAAAACAAGAAAATCGTGCCGTCTGGTTTGCTTAATATAAGGAATGTGAAATAATGTTTGCTTTTACTTTTACTTTTGATACTTAAGTATATTTTAGCAATTACATTTACTTTTGCTACTTAAGTATATTTAAAACGAAATACTTTTTGACTTTTACTCAAGTAGTATTTTACTGGGTGACTTTAACTTTTACTTGAGTCATTTTCTATTAAGGTATCTTTACTTTTACTAAAGTATGACAATTGGGTACCTTTTCCACCACTGCATATAAATTGTATTTTAGTCGGGTAATATATACGTAAAAGTATGGAGGACACAAGAGCTGCAGTGAATACAATGTCAACAACACAACCAAATCAACACATGGACACCTAAACCTGAATCCCAAACATGATGCAGTACAGTTGAAAACAAGGGTTGAGTCGTACCTTGAGCTGCAGTGGGCAGGATCCCCAGCATAAAGGCCAGGTATAGCTCCATCCTGGATCTGCTCCAGGTCTGTGTCTGTCTGTATGTCTTGGAGTGTTGTTATTGTGTCTGTGGTCAAGGAGAGAAAATGAGGAATCATTCGATTGGATCTCTGCTGTCACTCACTCACTGTCATACACTTCTTCTTTTCTAAAGAAGATTGGGAAATCAAAACTTTCAGGATTTATCACTTTGAAATCAAGGCAATATAGGCCAGACCTTACTGAAAGCCTTTTCAAATGTTATTCACATGCTATTAATGATAGTTACTGTGTAACATGGCTAAGACTGGAAACAATTAACTCTACTGAACCTGTAGATGTCTTAAGCTCAGTGGTATGCCTCTGACCCCACAGAGCTCTGTGGATTCACCATCCAGGAGCGAGTAAAGTCCCTTGAACCCTGTCTCTCTTCTGTCTCTGTCTCCCTTAGTCTGACCAGCAGCCAGTAAAAGAGAGAGAGGCATAAACAGACAGACAGTGGTGTCATGCTCCCCTCTAATGACCATGCGTCTCAGTTTGGTTAGAAAACAGGCCGGCCCTCCCAGTCCTAATGCCATGGTGCTGAGACTAATCTGCGGTGATGATGGGTCACACTGCTGCTCTGCTGCCTATCCCCAGCTCCAGCCCCAGCCCCAGCATGCCTAGCCCCATCCCCAGCCTGCCTGAGGGCCGAAAAGAGAGCTTTGATTGAACTAAGTCTAGCTGGGCTTGGGAAAGTTCATTTGGTTTTGCTGATTCTATTTTGGGAATCTCATCGGATATCTCTCTTATGGTCAATTCATGTGGGGACATTTATGATCTCTTCTACATTGATTGAATAAAGCCAGAAAACAGATGTTGGTGTTGAAAATTAGAGAGCTAAAGAACATAATGAATTATTTTCCGTTATGGGAAAATAGTAGAATGCTGCAAGTCATAGAACTAATACAAAATACAGAACACATTTATTGCTGATATAAAAGAAGAGACACAATGAAATGATCTATCATATTTTCATTAGAAACATTTATTTTCACATAAACACTTTTAACATACAAAATATTGCATAAAAAAATACATTTGTAAACATACAGAAAAGCTTTGGTACAGTAGCGTGTGTATGGTTAATATTCTACATAATGTAGTGTGTGAGTTCTGCATTCCTGCGTGTTCTGCATTCTGTGTTCCTACATCATGTGACAAATATATACAAATATGCATATTTGTATAAAGTTATCCTCCCAAAGAAAAGCTTATTTTAACATTAGGCCTACTATTTGTATTTCTCATAGAACTTTATACAATACAAAAGCACTTCAAAGATATTAGATCAGTCATAGTCACAGTACACAACAACGTACTAATCTTGTATCAGGTGTGCTAAGGCAGTGATATGCTCAGATTATTTCTAATTCAGTCAGTACCTCCGTGTAAAAACATACAATTTGTTCATACCTCTCAGACATCCTTCAATCTCTTATGTCCTGAACCTAAATCCCTTTCTTGGAAATGTTCATGTTTTCCTAAACATTGTAAAGTGCAAAATGTATACAGAATTGTTTAAACAAAATGTTATATAAAATGTAAAAAGAAATCTATATAAAACTCAAGACAACATTTACTGAGTGTACCATATTCTGCTTAATTAAGGCCAATGTATGTCTATTTTCTCAAAATTCATTATATTTCTGTGAAATAACTTGAAATAGAAAGTACGCATTTGTAAAAATAAAATAAAAAACACAAAGAAAATATACCTCAGTGCAACTAGAATGTCATATCCCATTGATATTGAGAAGTATAGATGCCATAAGATGATGTGTTCATGAATGTTTTTACTAACTAAAGTAGCCTACCCATCAACAAATTTGAACTTTTTCACACAACCAAAATGTAACAGTACATGTTACACTTTTAGTGATTTTAATAAAAAACTGAAAGGGTTTTGGAAGCCTAATGTTTTCATCTTCATAATAGAAAAATGACAAGACAAATCCCCATAGAAAACACTGCAATAGTGACCATATTACTACAGTATTTTAAAATCCTACATTTTTATTCTTATGTGTACTGGTATTTTTTAATCTTCATTATTATGTGAAGGGTTTGCAAATGGTCCCTCCCTTCAATATGGAGTATTTTGCATTGATTACATTAAAATCATCATCAATCAACAATCATCATTGATTAAATACATGTCACTGTCTCTAAGTAATTATAGATTTTTGAATTGATTTTCAGCACAGAATTATTTAGAAAGTACCAGTTGTGAAATATTTGCTAAAGCAGTGGAAGTTGTTTCTGTTGTTAGGGTCACCTTCTCATTGAAATCGCAATATGTTGTCTTAATCCACTGAAGCAGGGATGGGCAACTGGTGGCAGGAAATTAACTAGGGCCGGATCTGACTGCATTAATGGGGTATGCATGTGGGTACGCAGACATGTGTGCCACTGCGGACCCTCAAGATAAGTACAAAAAAATGGTGGCCCCCACTCCCATCAAAGTTTCCCATCCCCGCGCTACAGCTATTCAGGAATGTTGCTATACATTCACCAAGTTTCTTAAAGGTCTACAGGAAGCTGTCTTCCACTTCCGGTGTTCCAGAAGATTCCAGTGGAATCAGAGCCTGGTTGGCATGGAGACCGTCCTCTTCTGGAATGGTGTCTGCCTCTGCTGTCTCCTGGGAGATGGAATCAGCTCCGTCCTCCTCCAGAGCCAGAGAACTACAGGGAATAACAACACACGTTCCTTTAGAAACAAACGTGGGATTTTAGGTAAAAACTATACTTTGAGCACAGCATTGCGCCACAAATCCAAACTATGTAAAACCTAAACTATCATATTTAAGCCAGCTTTGCTTGTCTGAGGTTTCAGTTGAAATATCCTGTGTACTGTATGCACAATCCTTATAGGTAATGCAAAATCCTCAAAATGTAACACTGAGTGTACAAAACATTATGAGCACCTGCTCTTTCCGTGACAGACTGACCAGGTGAATCCAGGTGAAAGCTATGATCCCTTATTGATGTCACCTGTTAAATCTACTTCAATCAGTGTAGAGAGATGAAGGGGAGGAGACAGGTTAAAGAAGGATTTTTAAGCCTTGAGACAATTGAGACATGGATTGTGTATGTGTGCCATTCAGATGGTGAATGGGCAAGACAAAATACTTAAGTGTCTTTGAACGGAGTATGGTAGTAGGTGCCAGGCGCACCGATTTATGTCAAGAACTGCAACGCTGCTGGGTTTTTCACCCTCAACAGTTTCCCGTATGTATCTAGAATGGTCCACCACCCAAAGGACATCCAGCCAACTTGACACAACTGTAGGAAGCATTGGAGTCAACATGGGCCAGCATCCCTGTGGAACGCTTTCGACACCTTGTAGAGTCCATGCCCCGACGAATTGAGGCTGTTCTAAGGGCAAAAGAGGGGGGTGCAGGGTGCAACTCAATATTAGGAAGGTGTTCTTAATGTTTTGTACACTCAGTACACATGGTAAGATAAAACAGCTTTTGTCTCAATCGCGCATATGGCTGTGTGGGTTGGTGTTGTAATGATACAAGGTCCTCTAGAGTAAATATGCCTTATCTTCCAGCATGCTCAGCACTTGGCACACATCTGCAGTCAGTCAGTCAGTCAGTCAGTCAGTCAGTGTTTGTAGTCAGGAAGTATGTTAGACAGCCATACCTCGCGGGGCTTTCCGTTGGCAAGCTGTTGGCCTCGGAGAAGACTTCCTCCTCAGGCTTGGGGTCCGGGATGGGGATGATGTAGTCGTTGTAGGAGGCCGTCACTTCCTCTCCATCTGCCTCCGGTCTAAAGTCTCCAGTTAGGGGGTAGGGGTTGAGGTCCTGGGGGGTGTCAGGGGCGGTGGAGGGGGTGATGGCTGGGGTGGGGAAGGGGGAGGAGAGCCTGGGTTTGGTGCGGACCACGGCCGGGTGGTCACTCTTAAAGAACTCGTCGTTGACCTGGCAGTATCTCTGTACCAATAATTATAGTCAATTAGATACATCTCAGTGATCAATGTTAGATCTGTCCATAGTCAATACACACTTAAAGGAAAACTCCACCCAAAAACTATCTTTTGGTATTTGTTTCGTTAGTCCATTGTTGACATAGTCCCAAAATGTTTTGCTTGTCAGCAATCAAGTTTTTAAGATATGTAACTTTCAAAATACAGAAATCATCCCCGTATGATGCATTTTGCAAAAACATTGATAGTTTTCATAGGTGGACGTGGAAATACTGTTTGTCCTCAGATGCATTGTGTAAAGGGAAAAACTCCTATATTAATAGGATACCTTTTTATAGCTGTCAGTGAGCATGTTCCCCATGGTGTGCACCAGAAAGGAGAACTCTGGCCTCTTCTCATGCTTCTCATCCCAGCACTTCTGCATCACTTCATAACTGGAGGACAGAATTACTTCCTTAGTTGAACATTTTAACTGAACATGTCACTAAAAAAGAACACTGACAGAAGACATGATTAGAGAGAGGTGTTTGAGAGTGATGGTAGAGACTTACACTTCGTCTGTGGCGTGGTTAGGTTTGGCCATGCGATAGCCTCTCTTTAAGGCACTGTAAAACAGCTCATTCATTGGAAGGTCAGGGTAAGGGGTTCCTCCTGTTAAAAGATCAACCATTCAAATATTTAAAGGCTGATCTGTTGAAGTCATGCTGAACCAGCAGTGTCCAAAAGTTCTCAGATCTCGAATTATACCAGAATCCTGTCCTATTTTGTTTACCATGAAAAACGTTCACGCGGTTTCACGCCAAATTAACCACTTCTCAATAGGTACTCTTCTTGTCACGGCACTTCCAAAAGCATTTGTAAAAATCCCAAAATGAATTGATAATAAACCCTGACTGTAGCTAATAACAACAAGACCTCATCTGACCCTAAATAGACTCAGGATTAGACAAGCTGATCGTCTTGTCCTCATAAGACAACTTTATTGCCTGTCTGTTTAAACACGGTATTGACAGCCTTTTGAAACCTCTATACTAACATACATTAAATAAACGAGGTAATCTAATCAAAAGTTCTGCTCATGCTACTACTGATATTTCTGAATTAATTCCAGTTAATGGGTTGTTTCGGTTTAATCAAACAGTAATCTCGTCTTCGATCTATCAGTTAATAATGAATGGATTCCGTTTCCCGTCCACGTACCAAGGGTGAAGATCTCCCAGAGGAGGATGCCGTAGGACCACACGTCACTCAGGGTGGTGTACAGGTTATGGAAGATACTCTCTGGGGCCATCCACTTCAAGGGCAGGAACGTCTGAAAGGGCCAGAATTAGAGATAATGTTAGCATCAGCAAGGTACTGAGAGGTAGGTTACAGCAGCAGTTATAGCTTACAATTTAAGTCGGTTGAAAGTTGTAATTTATGGTGTTTAAATGGTGTTTTACTGTTATCTTTCAAACGTTGTGTTATTTCATGTGTATGTGTATGTGTATGAGTGACCCTGCCACTCACGCTGCCTTTGGAGATGTAGTTGGAGTCGTGCATGATGTCTCTGGCTAGGCCAAAGTCACAGATCTTCACCAGTTTCCCCTCACAGATCAACACGTTCCTGGCGGCCAGGTCACGATGGACACACTGGGGAGGAGAGGGTTAAAAGGGCAATCTGCAGTTGCTACATTCATTTTTGATGAAATGCGTACCACAATAACGGACAGTATAAAGTTCTGTATAAACTGTGTGATATCCACAAGAACCACCAGGGTATTTCCGAACGACAAACCATTGATTAATGGTGAGATCAAAAACGCATTAAGCATGAAGAAGTTTGCGTTCTCCCATCGGGATATGCAGTCCCTACGCCAACTGAACAGCTCCCTCAAACATGCCATCTAATGAGCAAACTAAGGTACAAGGAGAAGGTGGAGGAATTCAGCAACATGAACGCTAAGCAGGCCTTTCAAAAAGTCAGGAAGTTGGCAGGCTACTCTGACAAACCATCTCCACCTGCCCATGATGACCCAATCGCCTTGTCCAACGACCTCAACCACTACTTCTCACGTTTTGTTATCCACGTTTTGATACCCACTATGATCCAGAATCTGTGAGAACCTGCTGGATGCCCTCCACTTCACTGACTCCCCTCCACTGGCACAATCCCCACCCTATGGAAAACATCTACCATCGTCCCCATTCCCCATTCATAAAATGTCTACCCCGACTGAGTTCAACCGGCCAGTTGCTCTCACGTCACTGATCATGATTTTCTTGGAAAGACTGGTTCTTAACATCCTACTACTACCCACCCTTCACTCCTCCCTTGATCCCTACCAGTTTGTTACTAAGCGGGGAGAGGAATTGATGACACGGTGGTCTGCAGGCTGCACAGGCTGCTGGAACACATGGAGGGAATGGGAAATTACGCACACATCCCGTTCGTGGATTTCAGCTCTGCCTTCAACACCATCCAACGACACACTATGATCCAGAAGCTCAATAACCTGGACGTATCTCCCAACATCATTCGCTGGATCCACAACTGTTGAAGTGGCAGACCTCAGGCCGTGAGGATAGATAACACCCAGTCCTCTGTAAGCATCACCAACACTGTTGTTTGTTTCTTCTGTGTTTTCATATTTGTTTTAGGTATTCCTGTGTAAGCTGTGCCAAGATTTTCCTCTTGTAGGACAGTAAAAGGGATTCTGATTCTGTCAGTGGTGTAAAGTACTTAAGTAAAACTACTTTTACTTCACTACATTCCTAAAAAAAATAATGTACTTTTTACTCCATACATTTTCCCTGACACCCAAAAGTACTAGTTACATTTTGAATGCTTAGCAGGACAGGAAAATGGTCCAATTCACGGACTTTTCAAGAGAACATGCCTGGCATCTCTACTGCCTCTGATGTGAAGGACTCACTAAACACAAATGCTTTGTTGGAGTATGCCCCTGGTTATCCGTAAATAAAAAAGAAACAAGAAAATGGTGCCATCTGGTTTGCTTAATATAAGGAATTTGAAATGAGTTATACATTTACTTTTACTTTTGATACTTAAGTATATATATTTTTATATTTAAAACCAAATACTTTGACTTTTTCTCAAGTAGTATTTTATTGGATGACTTTCACTTTTACTTGATTCATTTTCTATTAAGGTATCTTTATTTTTACTCAAGTATGACAATTGGGTACTTCTTCCACCAATGGATTCTGTACCCCATCAGGACCCAAAATATAAGATTGTTTTACTCCAATGTTTGTAAACCAAATGTATGTAAACAAACACTGTATAGCCTCAATTTGTTGTTGTTGTTGATATCAAATAATTGTATTTAATGTATAATTTTTTACAGTTGAAGTTGGAAGTTTACATACACCTTAGCCAAATACATTTAAACTCAGTTTTTCACAATTCTGACATTTAATCCTAGTAAAAATTCCCTGTCTTAGGTAAGTTACGATCACCACTTTATTTTAAGAATGATTTATTTCAGCTTTTATTTCTTTCATCACATTCCCAGTGGGTCAGAAGTTTACATACACTCAATTCGTATTTGGTAGCATTGCCTTTAAATTGTTTAACTTGGGTCAAACGTTTCGGGTAGCCTTCCACAAGCTTCCCACAATAAGTTGGGTGAATTTTGGCCCATTCCTCCTGACAGAGCTGGTTTAACTGAGTCAGGTTTGTAGGCCTCCTTGCTCGCACACACTTTTTCAGTTCTAACCACAAATGTTCTATACGATTGAGGTCAGGGCTTTGTGATGGCCACTCCAATACCTTGACTTTGTTATACATAAGCCATTTTGCCACAACTTTGGAAGTATGCTTGGGGTCACTGTCCATTTGGAAGACCCATTTGCGACCAAGCTTTAACTTCCTGACTGATGTCTTGAGATGTTGCTTCAATATATCCACATAATTTTCCTTCCTCATGATGCCATCTATTTTATGAAGTGCACCAGTCCCTCCTGCAGCAAAGCACCCCCACAGCATGATGCTGCCACCCCCGTGCTTCACGGTTGGGATGGTGTTCTTCGGCTTGCAAGCAACCACCTTTTTCCTCCAAACATGACGATGGTCATTATGGCCAAACAGTTCTATTTTTGTTTCATCAGACCAGAGGACATTTCTCCAAAAAGTACGATCTTTGTCCCCATGTGCAGTTGCAAACCGTAGTCTGGCTTTTCTATGGCAGTTTTGGAGCTGTGGCTTCTTCCTTGCTGAGCGGCCTTTCAGGTTATGTCGATATAGGACTCGTTTTACTGTGGATATAGATACTTTTGTACCTGTTTCCTCTAGCATCTTCACAAGGTCCTTTGCTGTTGTTCTGGGATTGATTTGCACTTTTCGCACCAAAGTACATTCATCTCTAGGAGACAGAACGCGTCTCCTTCCTGAGCGGTATGACGGCTGCATGGTCCCATGGTGTTTATACTTGCGTACTATTATTTTTATAGATGAACGTGGTACCTTCAGGCATTTGGAAATTGCTCCCAAGGATGAACCATACTTTTTTCTGAGGTCTTGGATGATTTCTTTTGATATTCCCATGATGTCAAGCAAAGAGGTACTGAGTTTGAAGGTAGGCCTTGAAATACATACACAGGTACACCTCCAATTGACTCAAATGATGTCAATTAGCCTATCAGAAGCTTCTAAAGCCATGACATCATTTTCTGGATTTTTCCAAGTTGTTTAAAGGTACAGTCAACTTAGTGTATGTAAACTTCTGACCCACTGGAATTGTGATACAGTGAATTATAAGTGAAATGATCTGTCTGTAAACATTTGTTGGAAAAATTACAAGGTAATTAGATAGATGGTAGATGTCCTAACAAGGTAGATGTCCTAACCGACTTGCCAAAACTATAGTTTGTTATCAAGAAATTTGTGAAGTGGTTGAAAAACGAGTTTGAATGACTCCAACCTAAGTGTATGTAAACTTCCGACTTCAACTATATATATACTGAATAAAAATATAAATGCAACACGAAACAATTTCAAAGATTTTACTGAGGTTCAGTTCATATAAGTAAATCAGTTAAATGAAATAAATAAATTAGGCCCTAATCTATGGATTGCACATGACTGGGAATACAGATATGCATATGTTGGTCACAGATACCTTAAAAAAAAGGTATGGGTGTGGGGATCAGAAAACCATTCAGTATATGGTGTGACCACCACACATCTCCTTCGCATAGATTTGATCAGGCTGTTGATTGTGGCCTGTGGAATGTTGTCCCACTCCTCTTCAATGGCTGTGCTTAGTTGCTGGATAATGGCTGGAACTGAAATATGCTCAATGGGTGACATGTCTGATGAGTATGCAGGCCATGGAAGTTTCCAGGAATTGTGTACAGATTGTTGTGACATGGAGCCGTACATTATGATGCTCAAACACAACGCCATACACGTGCGGTTGTGAGGCCGGTTGGACGTACTGCCAAATTCTCTAAAATGGTAGAGAAATTAACATTCAATTCTCTGGCAACAGCTCTGGTGGACATTACTGCAGTCAGCATGCCAATTGCACACTCCCTCAAAACTTGAGACATCTGTGGCATTGTGTTGTGTGACAAAACTGCACATTTTACAGTGGCCTTTTGTAAACTTGTAAACAAATTTGTGCACAACATTTGAGAGAAATAAGCTTTTTGTGCATATGGAAAATGTCTGGGATCTTTTATTTCAGCTCATGAAACATGGGACCAATACTTTACATGTTGCGTTTATATTTTTGTTCAGTGTATATATCAAACTATCATTTTATATCAGTTGTTGCATCCATAACTCTGTCTATTTGAGAGAGGTTACATTTCTCCAAGCCCATCGATCAGCTTTTAACCAAAACAGTGACGGTGAAGATGCTTTGTTATTGTTTCAACTGCTGATTGCCCATTTAAACATCAGGGTTACAGGAAGCCAAGGTCAGACGGGACATTAACTATTGATGCTGAAGTACATTCTATATCCATATCTACTGCACTTTAGATTCCATGTAATAAATAAAGGCTGAATAAATAGAACATTACATACGTTCTTGGAGGCGAGGAACTCCATGCCCTTGGCCACCTGGTAGCTGAAGCCGATGAGGTCAGAATAGCTGAGGGTGGTAGAGTCACTGATGAACAGGGCAGAGTCCACTGTGTTCTGGTCTGGAGATAGAGCAGAGACATGGATTGAAGGGTTCATTAATGAGGTCAAAAAGAGAGACAACGTAAAGGTGAATAGATTTTCAGGTGAGTATACAAAACATTAAGAACACCTGCTCTTTCCATGACAGACTGGCCAGGTGAATCCAGGTGAAAGTTATGATCCCTTATTGATGTCACTTGTTAAATACACTTCAATCAGTGTAGATGAAGGGGAGGAGACAGGTTAAAGAAGGATTTTTAAACCTTGAGACAATTGAGACATGGATTGTGTATGTGTGCCATTCAGAGGGTGAATGGGCAAGACAAAGTATTTAAGTGTCCTTGAATGGGGTACACCTCGATAGTAGGAAGATAGGGATACTGGCCCATGTTGACTCCAATGCTTCCCACAGTTGTGTCAAGTTAGCTGGATGTCCTTTGGGTGGTGGACCATTCTTGATACACACGGGAAACTGTTGAGCGTGAATAACCCAGCAGCATTGCAGTTCTTGACACAAACCGGTGCGCCTGGCACCTACTACCATACCCCGTTCAAAGGCACTTAAATATTTTGTCTTGCCCATTCACCCTCTGAATGGCACACATACACAATCCATGTCTCAACTGCCTCAAGGCTTAAAAATCCTTCTTTAACCTGTCTCCTCCCCTTCAGCTACACTGATTGAAGTGGATTTAACAAGTGACATCAATAAGGGATCATAAGGTATACATAGAGGCTTCTGTAGGTAAAATAAACAATAAAACTGTCCTTTCCCATCCTCCTGTCCTTTCTTGATCTCATGTGCTTCCCATATGTTTGGCATATCATAGACCTAAAGTATACAAAGTATACAGTACGCTTGGGCTTTGTTATGGCTCTGTATTTCTTGGACTCTGTACCTTGTTCCTGGTAAAGGTCGTGCTGGTAGGGAGACTCATATGGAGAAGCCTGGATGTCAGCGTATTTGATGGTGTCTTTCAGCTCCTGCATGGGGACGTACACTGTGGGCTCGTCCTTACTCATGTCCATGTAACCACCGTCACACTCACTGCCAAATGACACGTAGCTGCCAAGATATTTGGGACACATTAGGATAATGTATAATGGAGAAAAAAAACACATGGCCAGTTCTATGTCTGTATGGCCTCATTTTTGTGACTGAAAGTCTACAGATGTAGAATCTTAATTTGAGCCAGTTTGCTACAGCAGGAAAATAATCCTGCAGCAGCAGGAAATGCAAATTATTATGTGGATTATAATTAATGGATTTTTTTTTTGTGGTTGATACATTTTTTGTAACTAAACCTAAACTGTAATTACTAAATTTCAAAGTGGAAACGACAAACTTCAGAATCCTTCTAAAACCTCAAATAAACAACAAGTTTACCTTTCCTGCATTGCAGAAAAGTTATCCTGCAACAGGGTGATCAAATTAAGATCCTACATATGTATGTCTTTTTTTCTCCCATTAATATGTGGTTGTACTTGATCCACGCACTGTTTCACTCAGCCAGAGGAAAGGGTGAGAGCTAACCTCTTCTTTATCTTCCAAACGAAAACCTGAGTGAACCCCCAGATGAGGAGGTAGCTCTCACCCTTTCCTCTGGCTGAGAGGAGTGCTCCCTCCAGAGATGCGGCAGCCAGAGTCCTCCTGGTTCTTCTCAGCGTAGTACTGCAGGAACGTGTGCTTGTTCCTGTGTAAGTAGTCCACCAGGTCTCCATAGCGACAGTACTCTGTCACCAGGTAGAGAGGGCCTGAGAGGTTGAGCGCCACAAAAAGGGAAATAATTTATTTTCACTGGGGAAGAATTTACACATACGATTACATAGTTAGTCAAAAAAAACGTTTGTAGCTACGACGTTATAGTCTCCCTAGGCAGATGGGTTGCCTCCCACATTAACAATGTTCCCGCATACATGCTGTTGCCCTAGGTCTGGGACTTCAGAGACTAATGACATTAGGCTGTGAGCTTGTGAATGTTGCTGTGGTGATGGGCTCACCCTGTTTGGTGCAGGCCCCCAGCAGGTTGACGATGTTGAGGTGAGGCCCCAGGTGGCTCATGATCTTCAGCTCTGACATCAGAGCCTGTGTCTCACTCCTCCTGGCCGTAGCTGGTGGTCAGAGGACAGAGAGGTCGGAGGTCAGAGAACTAAAGCATGGGGTATGGGTATGGGTGGTCCTCTGTAGCTCAGCTGGTAGAGCACGGCGCTTGTAACGCCAAGGTAGTGGGTTCGGTCCCCGGGACCACCCATACACAAAAATGTATGCACGCATGACTGTAAGTCGCTTTGGATAAAAGCGTCTGCTAAATGGCATATTATTATTATTATTATTATTAAAACAGACTGGCATACAGGCTTAAAACTACCTCTATGCTGAAGATTATTGTTCTCACTTACATTTGAGCATTTTCACTGCCACTTTCGTGCTGGACTGGGAATGACCGAGACCATATGCGGTCGCTTCGACCACCCTGCCGAATGCTCCGGACCCCAGAGTACGACCTGGAACACAACACAAATACTGCCCAAATCAGAACAGTCAATATGTAACTTGCATCTGTCCCTATTAAATACACCATCAAATAAAGATTGGGGGTACCCCGTTCCCCCATGGTTCCTAGTCCTTACCCAGCACCAGGCTGTCTCGGGGCATCTCCCAGGCAAGGTCATAGGGCAGATGGATGGGGTCAACGTAGATATACTCATGTCCGTCCAGACTCACTGACTCGATCACCTTCCACCTGATCTCGTAACGAGGCTTCTGAGGCAACACACAAGAGTGAGAGTTACCCAATCACTCAGGCACATTGTAATACCATGAGTGAGTTAGTAATCGTAATGCATTTTTGCATAGTTGTTTAAACATTGTTCACTGTGTCTTTGTGTAGTCTCACCTTCCTCCACACAGCGATGAGGACGATGATGGAGATGATGAGGATGACCACCAGGGCTAGAACCGTAGCCAACACTGCCACCTGGGAGAACAAAGCTGGAACACAACACAGAACATTAATATCCAACTATTACATAATTGACATAGTCACAGAGAACATTTGTTCCTAGTATTAACATTCACACCATTATTTATACATAAACCATTATTTATCAGCTGTGTTAGTGCTGGACTGGAACCAACAGCCTGCACAGTACACCCTGCAACTCTCCACGACTTAGTCTAGTTACAGTATGCACTTAGATAAATAGAACCCCTTAGGTAGAGACACACTGAAATACAAAAATCCCCATAGATAAAATATTGTTCTTAGATAATGGTAATAGCATCATTATTTTGTTCTATTTTTTTGATACATACTGCTGGACACCAGTTTGACGTCCCTCCTGCGGAGTCCTCTCTCATTGCTGGCCTCGCAGCGGACGGTCACCTGCTGGGGCTTGTGGAAGATGACCTGGCTGCGGATCTGGCCCACCTTACGGCTCTCGTTGAAGCTGACGTTGGTCTGGACGCTCAGGGTCTCAGGGTCTGACACTAGGGGCTGCCACACTGTGCTCCGATTACTGCACCTGGGAGAGATGTTATAATGATAACGTTACTACAGGTGTTTCAATAGTACAGCAGTAAAGGTGAAATACTACTGCTACCTCTACTCAGGTGTGTCTGAGGTAAAGGCTGTGAGCTAATGTACTCTGGTACAGAAGCTGTCTAATAACACAAATGGCCTGACATCAGTTTAAACTGCAATTACTAAAACTAAACTAAAACCAGTTTAAGCAAAGTCTGCCCTCTAGTGTCCAGAGTGTGACAGAATCCCAGACACTAACAGTGTGATGATGATGATGATGATGATGATGATGATGATGATGATGATGATGATGACATGACTCACTTGAGCATGGTGTCACAGCTGAACCACTGGATGGTGGGGGAGGGGACTCCCTCAGCCACACAGGTCACTGCATGCCTCTTCCCTGGGAGGTGGTGGTCCGACAGGTCTGTGATCTGAGGGGGGACTACACAGAGAGGGGTACAGGGTTAGGAAATACATATCCCATGACTCTAGATGATAAGTGTAGGTATATGTTGAGCCAGGGTGGAATTTCAATAGTCTTAAGTGACTTTCTATTATTATCACCTCTCATTTATATGCACTGATCTCAAAGCATAGGGAGTGTGAAAGCAATGGAGCTACATCCATGGTGGATGCAGTTCTTTCAAATCAGTGCTGATGACAAAAGGTAAAGGAGGAGAAGGAACCACTTAACAGACTACTGAGATACACCACGTTGGTTTACATTGGTTGCAAAGGCGACTCACCTTTGACCTCCAGATCAAAGGTCAATTTCTTGGTGTCATCTCCGTTGGCGACGTGAACGGTGTAGAGGCCTTTTTGTTCTGTCCTGATCCTCACCAGGGTCAACGTGCTGACGTACCTGAGATAGAGGGGTAATGGAAAACCACACAGTTGTAAATGTCATGAAATTATTCACAACGGTTCAGTCTTCCTGGAAAAATGTGTTCATCTTAATCAATCCATCAACATCGCTAAAACCTTAAAACCTCCTGAGACATCCAGTCACTATCAGTCAACAGCAGATAAAGCCTAGACAGCAGGTTACCCAATCCTCTCAGACAGCAAGACTAAATCACTCAACACCCAGCAAGAACCAGAGACAGACTAAGACCATCTCTTAGAGCCTAAATTACCCAATGAGTTGCTAACGTCCATACCACACAAGTGGGATTGTAAATTCGGTTGCCTGATCTGTTTTATACTTTAATGTAACGACAAATAGAACCCACTCTATTGATCTAATCTGATCAATTCAATCTCTAAATTGATTAGAATTGATCGTCGTCCAGGTAGTCTCACCTGGTCTCATGTTCCTGCCTGGTGATGACGGTGTTGTCCCCATTGACCGTGGCATCATCTTTGGTCCAGCGCACACGTGGAGGAGGGTAGGCCTCAATCTCCACCCTCAGCTCTACGTTCTGGTGCAGCTGGGCCGAGATGTTACGCTCCTGGACGGATCTCAGCTCCACGAAGCCTTGCTCTGACAGAGGAAGGTTGTCATTAGTTAGTAACCACATAATAAGTATAGTACCTCTGTAGACATCTTGCAAGAACATGTAGCCTGCGTTAGGGAATAAATAGCTTGACAAATGGAAGTTGAAAAGCTGAAACAGACAGGCACCCAGGGCAAGGGAAGTAACTACTATATAAGAGTATTAAGTGTAGATCACTGTGTTTACAGTATAGCTGCTAAGTATAGTAGGTCCATATTGTATAGACTGAGGTGATTACAAAGCTATCTATTCAAATGGTTGAACTGTTTGTAGACTGAAATGAGGATCTGTCATTTCCACTGGGCTGTCCAGAGTATTGGCTCAGAGCCCTGTAGAGAGAAAGACTTACAACATGCATGCCCTGGCTCTATGAAGAAGGCAGTTTATACATGTTTGGCTACCGTGGCCAAAATATAACACACCTCAGTGGGAATAGGGTAAGCATTCACAGAGGCATGACGGTATCTTAGGTTACATCCAATCCTCAAAGAGGGTGAAAGAGAAAAATGTTGGGTTTAACCTTAAAAAAACGTTCTGCTGACTTTCAATTTGCAGCGTGTTAGATGCAGTTCAATTATTTGAAGTGACGTCAAAGGTAAGGGGGGGAAAACACAGATTTAAAAAATAAAAATGCAGTTTGCTACAGTGCTGATTCTGATTCGACAACAATTCTCAGATTGGACACTTTGTATAAAATGTTATCAAAAATAATAATTCAATATTATTGGATTTTAATTGACTTTCTCACACAAAACACAGATGTTGTGTTTGTATTTTCAGTGACGTTCACTAGCTACATGCTAAAAAATATGTATTTATTTTCACAGAACTCTCTCTCGCCTAGTGCATGGGGGTTCATATTATGAGTGATGCTCTTTCAGTCTAAAAAATAACCTTAATAATAAGCTATCCAGTCATTGTTTGTTTTGAGAGAGTCTCTTCCTGGCTCCTCACCGAGGACAGTGATGTTGACGTTGGCTGTGGCGCTCTGGTCCTGGACACCCTCGTGGACATGACACACGTACTGGCCAGTGTGGGCCAGCGTTGCCTTGGAGACTATGAGGCATGAGCGCATCCTCTGCGATGACAGGACGTCAGTCAGAGGCTCAATGGAGTCCACCTGACAGACAAAGGGGAGGAAAGGGGTGCATACATTTTTTATTCCTTCTAAGAGAAGGCTATGGAAGTACAAACTGAGTAATATCAGATTCTACAAGTTTAACAGGATGTGTTGATTTTATCCACATGTACAGTTGAAGTCGGAAGTTTACATACACATACACCTTAACCAAATACATTGGATAAAAGCGTCTGCTAAATGGCATATTATTATTATATTATATTACAATATATCACAATTCCTGACATTTAATCCTAGTAACAATTCCCTGTCTTAGGTCAGTTAGGATCACCACTTTATTTTAAGAATGTGAAATGTCAGAATAATAGTAGAGAGAATGATTTATTTCAGCTTTGGGTGGACTTCAAACGTTTCGGGTAGCCTTCCACAAGCTTCCCACAGTAAGTTGGGTGAATTTTGGCCCATTCCTCATGACAGAGCTGAAGTAACTGAGTCAGGTTTGTAGGCCTCTTTGCTCGCACACGCTTTTTCAGTTCTGCCCACAAATGTTCTAACGGTTTGAGGTCAGGGCTTTGTGATGGCCACTCCAATACCTTGACTTTGTTGTCCTTAAGCCATTTTGCCACAACTTTGGAAATATGCTTGGGGTCATTGTCCATTTGGAAGACCCATTTGCGACCAAGCTTTAACTTCCTGACTGATGTCTTGAGATGTTGATTCAATATATCCACATAATTTTCCTTTCTCATGATGCCATCTATTTTGTGAAGTGCACCAGTCCCTCCTGCAGCAAAGCACCCCCACAACATGACGCTGCCATCCCCGTGCTTCACGGTTGGGATGGTGTTCTTCGGCTTGCAAGCCACCCCCCTTTTCCTCCAAACGTAACGATGGTCATTATGGCCAAACAGTTGTATTTTTGTTTCATCAGACCAGAGGACATTTCTCCAAAAAGTACGATCTTTGTCCCCATGTGCAGTTGCAAACCGTAGTCTGGCTTTTTTATGGCGGTTTTGGAGCAGATGCTTCTTCCTTGCTGAGTGGCCTTTCAGGTTATGTCGATATAGGACTTGTTTTACTGTGGATATAGATACTTTTGCACCTGTTTCCTCCAGCATCTTCACAAGGTCCTTTGCTGTTGTTCTGGGATTGATTTGCACTTTTCGCACCAAAGTACGTTCATCTCTAGGAGACAGAACGCGCCGCCTTCCTGAGCGGTATGACGGCTGCGTGGTCCCTTGGTGTTTCTACTTGCGTACTATCGTTTGTACAGATGAATGTGGTACCTTCAGGCATTTGGAAATTGCTCCCAAGGATGAACCAGACTTGTGGAGGTCTACAATTTGTTTTCTGATTTATTTTGATATTCCCATGATGTCAAGCAAAGAGGCACTGAGTTTGAAGGTAGGCCTTGAAATACATCCACAGGTACACCTCCAATTGACTCAAATGATGTCCATTAGCCAATCAGAAAGTTCTAAAGCCATGACATCATTTTCTGGAATTTTCCAATCTGTTTAAAGGCACAGTCAACTTAGTGTATGTAAACTTCTGACCCACTGGAATTGTGATACAGTAAATTATAAGTGAAATAATATGTCTGTAAGCAATTGTTGGAAAAATTACTTGTGTCGTGCACAAAGTAGATGTCCTAACTGACTTGCCAAAACTATAGTTTGTTAACAAGACATTTGTGGAGTGGTTGAAAAATGAGTTTGAATGACTCCAACCTAAGTGTATGTAAACTTGCGACTTCAACTGTATATCTATCAGTGAAATCCTATCTCAAGGGCCTTCAAACTTAAACACTTTCACCACCATAAATGTACTGTATTATGAACGATGATATGAAAACCATGTGTCTGTCATGAATGAGATTTCCTGGGGATGTAACACATCTAGGTGTGGCTACACAGACATCTTGACGTAATTTACTCTGCGCCTGTTCTCTCTCTCTCCCACTCACATCTCTATTGGGATAGTCCCAGGAGAAGTAGACCAGCTCCACTCCGTGCACCGTGCAGTTCACTGTCAGAGGCTCGCCCTGCTTCAGCACCGTCTTGGACGCATTGATGTAGGCGTCGATCGTCTCCGGGACTAACACGGGAAGTGTGTGGAAAGAGAAGAAGAGAAAGAGAGAGGGAGGGCATGAGGGAGAGAGAGAGGGATAGAGATAAAGAGTTCCTTGTTATTTTTGAGACATTACCTCAAGGTGAAAGAGAACATATTGCTTACTCAGCAATATCACTGATATACAGCAGCTTGATAGCCTTTTAAGTGAGACCATAGATTGATACCCTTGCAATACTGTCTTTGTTACAGCCAGACATGCATATCAACAAAGAAATACATGGCCTGTACAGTACAATGCATGTCATGAAACGCTAGGTCTCTAGCCTCTAGTCTCCTTTGTTGTTACAATCCCCAGCCCCATCTCTGACCCCCAGCCTCAGCCAGGTACCCACCAGCAATACTGAAGACATAGAAAGCCTGGGACTCTTTCTCCTCCCCGTTCAGCTCTCCTCGACAAACATAGGTCCTGTCCTCCAGGGGCGCTCTGTAGCCCTCACTGGGGATGTAGACCCCCTTCAGGTGCATGTCACTGTCCCTTTCGTAGAGGGTGACGTTGATCTGGGGGTTGGTGACCACACAGGGGATGGTCCCCTCCTCGCTGGTCTTGGTCACCATGCCGTGGGAACTCTCAATGAACCACACATCAGGGTCTGTGTGAGGAAGGCGAGGGACGGGAAGACTTAGCATCACTTGAGGGATAAGAGGAATCATTTCACTCCATGTGAGGGATACAAATATTTACTAAATATATGACGATTGAACCTAGATATTGAGGCCTATAAGCTGAGTTCTCTGTTACAAGATCCAATATTTGCCTGGGCAGTGGGAACATAACAGTTTTCTAACCTAACCTATCTTTGTAAAAGTACAATAGCTGTGACAGAGTGTAAAGGGAGCGGCAGGTAGCCTAGCGGTTAGAGAGACGAGCCAGTAACCAGAGGGTTGCCAGTTTGAATCCCGGGTCCAACGGGAAAGATCTGAAGGCAAGTGAGCTGGCAACCGGAGGGTCGCTGGTGTCATTGCCTGCCGTTGTGCCCTTGAGCAAGGCACTTAACCACCACAGCAGCTCGCCGGGTGCCCAGTGTGGCAGCCCTGCGCACCTCTCCAAAAAACCTGTATGTACTGTATGTGTGTCTATCGAAGGGGTTGTGTTAAAAGCGGAAGTACAATTTCAGTTGGACCTTGTGTGCAATTGACCAATAAATTGATCTTAATCTAATTTTAAAGTTATAACAGTGTTTTCACCCGGCACAAAGACTGCCACCTCTGTAGTCTCGTCAGTCCAAGCCTCGGCACAGACGTATACTCCCGTTTGGCTCCACGTCACGTTGTCCAGAATGAGAACACTGGTTGTGTTCTGGTTCTCCACTCCAAAATAGGGAACGTTGTCATCCCGCTTGAACCTCCATCCGACCGTCCCCCAGCCAGAACAGGTAAAGATCATTGAGTCACCCGCTGCCATGACGACTTCACTGTTGCTAGGGGAGATCTCCAGGCAACAGAACTCAGGACAGAAGTGTAGAAGAGCTGCAGTCAACACAAACAAGGAAAGGTCAGGTTTGGGGTCAAATAGCTAGATCCCCAGGCCAAGGGTCAAAGGTTAAGATAGCAATAACAACTCAGATATCCATCCAATTACACAGTGATGAGGGATGTGAACAGTCTGGAGGGCTATGAAGGAGGGATGATGATGCACCGTTAATGACAGATCCTTTTAAGCTGATCGATGCTCTTTGTGTTCCAGATTAAAGAACAATCTCAATGGCAAATTAGTCCAGGAGTTTTTCCCTACCATGTAACCTAACCAGGAAAGACTCAGGCCCTAGTGATGTTATACCTCACAGTATATTTTCATGATATTCATGATGTGTGGTTGTTCCTCTCACCTGTAAGTAGGGTTGTCAGATGGAGAGTGGATATTCTGACACTCCTCATGGTGATTGGCTTCAGGAGATAATTATTCTGCAAACAGATTAAAAAGAAAAACACTTTGATTATTGTAGTCTCCATTATAACCCCTGTTTTTCTTCACAACATTCCTCCCAGTGTCACGACTTCCGCCGAGGCTGCCTCCCCTCCTTGTTCGGGCAGGTTTCGGCGTTCGTCGTCACCGGCTTACTAGCTACTGCCGATCCCATTCTCATCACTCCATTTGTCATGTCTTGTCTTGTCAATCACACACACCTGGTGCTCATTCCCCTAATTAGTATGTGTATAAGTGTTCCCTCTGTTCCCCTTGTCTTTGTGAGTGACTGTTTATTGTGAGAGCGTGTAGCTCGGTTGAGCTACTCTTCCAGTTGTATTTGCCAAGGTGGAATATTTTCCCTTGTTATAGTTTCGTTTTGACGCTGGGTGCGTTAGATTTATGTAAACGGAATAAACTCTGGACTTCAGTGTTTTACCTCCTGCGCCTGACTCCTTCATTCACACCTCGTCACAGAATCACTCACCCGCTGAATGGAGTCAGCAGGAGAAGACCGCATGCCTGGAGTTGTGGCAAGGGTCCAGGAGCATTCCTCGATGCTGGCCAGCTTGGGGGAAGCGATGGATCGGGTTCTATCGAGACCAGCTGGTCAACCGGATCAAGCCACCTACACCCCAGCCCCTGGAGGGATCCAGATATCCCGGCCACCGGCGTTTGATGGGACGGCTGCACGTATTGAGCTGTATTTCTCCAGCATCAGGCCGGCGCCACTGGAGCGGGAGAAGGTATCCGTCCTCGTTTCCTGCCTTTGTGGGAGAGCCCTGGAGTGGGCCAACGCGGTGTGGAACGAGGGAGGTGCCGCGTTGGAGGACTACTGGGAGTTTGCTCGCCTCTTTCGGGCCGTTTTCGATCACCCGCCTGAGGGTCGAGTGGCGGGCGAACGACTGGTCCATCTAAGGCAGGGGACGAGGACCGCACAGGACTACGCGCTGGAGTTCCAGATGCTGGCAGTGGGGTCCGGGTGGAACGAGCAGGCCCTGATTGACCATTTCCGGTGCCACCTAAGGCTAGCCTGCCGTGATGCCATGCTATCGTTCTCCCAACTGGTGGACATGGCCATCCGGCTGGATAATCTGCTAGCAGCCAGAAGTTATCCTGGTAGGGGTCTGCCTGTTCCCACTCCAGACAACTCTGACCCCGAGCAGATGGAGCTGGGGGGAGCCGCCGGTCGAGAGGGCGCAGGAGGACAGCGACAGTGCCACTCTGGTGGCACGAAGGGACAATCCACCTCACGTCACAGTCAACGTTCTTTTGGGTCTGGAGGCGGTAGGCAGGGTACTCATGCATCACCCCAGGTAACGAACACCCAAATTTGTTCAGAGCCCTTTGTGGCGCACTGTACCTTATCTTTCTCCTTTCCCGATCACCTGGTAGTTTCCCAGTGTAAGGCGCTAGTCGATTCAGGCACAGCTGGGAACTTTATGGATAGGGCATTTCATTGGTTCCCCTATCCATTCCACTCCCCATCAGAGCACTTGATAGTCAACCATTAGGGTCCGGGTTGGTTAAGGAGGTTACTGTACCAGTCACCATGATTACACAGGAGACGCATGTTGAACAGATCACTTTTTTTATTATTGAGTCTCCTGCTTACCCTGTAGTCTTAGGTATTCTGTGGTTAGCCCTTCACAACCCCAATTTTTCATGGCCGCAGAGGGTTCTTACGGCGTGGTCGCGTGAGTGTCCGGGTAGGTGTCTAGGTGTTTCCGTTGGTGCGAACACGGTGGAAAGTCCAGACGGCACTCCCACCGTGTGCATTCCCCCCGAATACCATGATCTGGCGCTCGCGTTTTCCAAGACGCAAGCGACTAAATGATCACCTCATCGGGAGGGGGATTGCGCGATAAACCTTCGGGTAGACGCCGTACCTCCCAGGAGTCATGTGTATCCCCTGTCGCAGGCTGAAACGGAGGCTATGGAAACATACGTCACAGAGTCCCTGCGCCAGGGGTATATACGTCCCTCCACTTCACCTGCTTCCTCAAGTTTCTTCTTGAGAAGAAAGATGGCGGTTTACGCCCGTGCATTGATTATCGACCACTGAATAAGGTGACGGTACGATTTAGTTATCCTCTTCCCCTCATTCCTTCCGTGATTGAGTCAATGCATGGGGCCCGTTTTTTCACCAAATTAGACCTCAGGAGTGCCTACAACCTGGTGTGTATTCGGGAAGGGGATGAGTGGAAAACAGCATTCAGCACAACCTCGGGGCATTATGAATACCTGGTGATGCCCTACGGTTTGATGAATGCTCCATCCGTTTTCCAGTCCTTTGTGAACGAGGTGTTTCGGGACATGCTTGGTCGCAGTGTGGTGGTCTACATCGATTACATCCTGGTGTATTCCTCTACGTGCGCCGAACATGTGTCCCTGGTTCGCAAGGTACTGGTCCGACTGCTGGAGAATGATCTTTATGCCAAGGCAGAGAAGTGTGAGTTTTTCCAGCAGTCAATCTCCTTCCTCGGATACCGCATTAATCCCACAGGTGTGGAGATGGAGGGAGATCACATTTCAGCCGTGCGTAATTGGCCGACTCCAACCACGGTGAAGGAGGTGCAGCGCTTCCTTGGCTTTGCCAACTACTATCGGAGGTATATTTGGGGCTTTGGCAAGATCGCAGCTCCCATTACCTCCTTGTTGAAGGGTGGGCCGTCCCGGCTCTGCTGGTCTGCTGAGGCTGATTTGGCCTTCAGTAGATTGCGGGGTCTGTTCACCTCCACCCCCGGTACTGGCTCACCCCGATCCATCACTACCGTTCGCAGTGGAGGTGGATGCGTCCGAGGTAGGGATAGGTGCTGTCTTATCCCAACACTCGGGCATGCCACCCAAGCTCCGCCCCTGTGCCTTCTTTTCGAAGAAGCTCAGCTCGGCGGAGCAGAACTACAGCGTTGGTGATCGGGAGCTGCTGGCTGTTGTCCGAGCTTTGACGGTGTGAAGGCATTGGCTCGAAGGGGCGAAACACCCTTTCCTCGTCTGGAAAGACCAACGTAACCTGGAGTACATTCGGGCAGCTAGGAGGCTGAATCCTCGTCAGGCCAGGTGGGCCCTCTTCTTCACCCGGTTTGATTTCACACTCTCATGCATTCCGGGTACGAAGAACTTGAAGGCAGACGCACTGTCCCGGCTGTTTGACACAGAGGAGAGGCCCAGAGACAACACCCCAATACTCCCGGCCTCATGCATTGTGGCGCCGGTAGTATGGGCGATGGACGCGGATATAGCACAGGCATTACGCACAGATCCATTTCCACCGCAGTGTCCAGCTGGGCTGCAGTACGTGCCTACGCTTATCCGTGATCGTCTGATCTACTGGGCACACATGTCACCCTCCTCTGGTCATCCAGGTATCGGTCGAACAATGCGCTGCCTGACTGTAGTACTGGTGGCCTACCTTGGCTAAGGACGTGAGGGTGTATGTTTCCTCCTGCTCAGTGTGCGCCCAGAGTAAGGCACCTGGGCACCTCCCAGTGGGTAAGCTACAACCTTTACCAGTTCCACAACGACCATGGTCTTTCCTTAGTATTGATTTTCTTACTGATCTTCCCCTCTCCCAAGGTAACACCACTATCCTGGTCGTTGTGGATCTCTTTTCGAAGTCCTGCCGCCTCCTTCCTCTGCCCGGTCTCCCCACGGCCCTACAAACTGCGGAGGCTCTGTTTACTCACGTCTTCTGGCACTACGGGGTACCAGAGGATATAGTGTCCGACCGAGGTCCCCAGTTCACGTCTAGAGTCTGGAAGGCGTTCATGGAACGTCTGGGGGTCTCGGTCAGCCTGACCTCTGGATTTCACCCCGAGAGTAATGGGCAGGTGGAAAGGGTGAATCAAGATGTGGGTAGGTTCCTGCGGACCTACTGTCAGGACTGGCCGGGGGAGTGGTAGAATACGCTCAGAACTCTCTCCGCCACTCCTCCACTAACCTAACACCCTTCCAATGTGTTTTGGGTTACCAACCGGTCCTGGCACCATGGCACCAGAGCCAGACCGAGGCTCCTGTGGTGGATGACTGGTTTTGGCGCGCGGGGGAGACTTGGGACGGTGCCCACATTCGCCTCCAGCACGCCGTGCATCGTCAGAAGGCGAACGCTGACCGCCACCGCAGGGAGGCCCCGGTTTTCATACCGGGGGATTGGGTCTGGCTCTCGACCTGGAATCTACCCCTCCGCCTGCCCTGCCGGAAGCTGAGTCCACGGTTTGTGGGGCCGTTTAAAGTCCTGAGGAGGATAAACAAGGTTACTTACAGGTTGTTACTCCCCCCTGATTACTGTATTAACCCCTCGTTTCATGTGTCTCTCCTCAGGCCGGTGGTAGCTGGTCCACTCCAGGATTCTGAGGTGCGGGAGGTTCCTCCACCTCCTCTGGACATCGAGGGTGCCCCGGCGTACTCGGTCCATTCCATACTGGATTCGAGGCGTCGGGTGGGAGGCCTTCAGTATCTCGTGGAGTGGGAGGGGTATGGTCTGGAGGAACGGTGCTGGGTCCCAAGGACGGACATCCTCGATCCCTCCCTGTTGAGGGATTTCCACCGTCGCCATCCGACTCGCCCCGATCCCATTCTCATCACTGCACTTGTCATGTCTTGTCAATCACACACACCTGGTGCTCATTCCCCTAATTAGTATGTGTATAAGTGTTCCCTCTGTTCCCCTTGTCTTTGTGAGTGATTGTTTATTGTGAGAGCGAGTAGCTCGGTTGAGCTACTCTTCCAGTTGTATTTGCCAAGGTGGAATATTTTCCCTTGTTATAGTTTCGTTTTGACGCTGGGTGCGTTTGATTTATGTAAATGGAATAAACTCTGGACTTCGGTGTTTTACCTCCTGCGCCTGACTCCTTCATTCACACCTCGTCACACCCAGTATATTGAGTTTGACCAGTGTGTTAAAGACAAACTCCCCACCCAGAGTTTCTATTTTACACTTGTCCTTCATACAGTAAATGGCTTATGACAGACAAGATGATTGAGAGGGACATAGACGACTCAAAGG